AATATTTTGTTTTTGGTGTATTTTGTTTTGTTATTAGTGCATTTTGTTTTGTTTTTAGTGTATTTTGTTTGGAAGTCGGTTTTGTTTTTTTTATTCTTTTCGTAGTAACAAAATTTATCTACATAAAAATTATTCAACGTATTATTTTTCAAATGAATTTTACAGCAATTTTAAACTTATAGACACTGATTCATGTACGTAAATGTACTAAAGTCGCGTGCGATAAGTTCAAGAGTGGGTTCGAATCGGTCATTTACTAAATGACCCTAACCGTTTTCTTACTTTTAACAAAGGAAAAATTCTCCATAAGCACAACGGTTGCACAGATGCATCTCAAAACATATTTTCTCCAGGCATTTTAGTAAAAAAACTACATACAAAACCATATTTCAGTACATTATATCGTAACTTTAAGAGAGTTATTATTTTTACAAAGAAAAATCACTCTACTCGTATTCCCCGGGGTTGAAACTTGGAGCAGAAAGCTCGAGTAACTATAAAAATATATTTAAGAGCGATCCTTTCTTTTGTGTCTGAAAATTGACAAAAATTCCACAGCCAGTGTCATTCCCAGTCTGTCGCTCGTAAAATGTTATCAGCACCTAGTATTGGAGATATATATAAAGCAAATTCTTTTGATAAAGGTAGTAAGGGTAAGGGACTTGTCAGGTAAAGATATACTAACAGTAATCAGACTTAATAAATGTTAAGCGTAGAGTTTCACTGCTGCTAAACAAGTCATCCTTCATTTTATTCGTATAAAAAGGTAGGTAAAAAAATATTTTCTACAGATATTTAGCCAGTATAAAACCATACTAAGAATTGCGTTTCCATAGTATGATAATAAAATTTAAACATATCTGAATATCGTTGAACTATATTAATTTCTCTGCTGACCCACTTCGCAGACGAGGTACAGAGGTCGCTGGTTTCATAAATGAGTACGTGAGATACTGCAAAAACACTGTTAAACTCACTAAATGCAGCTTTTATCACGTTTTAATATGCCAGCTAGTTACTTTAAATTTTAACACTTCTATTGTTTTTAATTGGACATAGTTATTATTAAAATACTATTAATAAATGTGAACAACAAGACAGGAACTTAATACAAACTATTATGACAGAACCAATCTATTAAGATTATTAAATAACCGCCATGTGGCATATGAAATCGACTACCATTATTCCGATAGTCGTTTCAGTACACGGGCTAATAGCGAAGAACTTCGACCAACACCTCAAGAAGCTCTCGCTAGACAGTTGGATTAAGGGCCCGATTCAAAAGGCGGTTATTGTAGAAACCGCACGCATAGTGAGGAGGTTCCTGTCTCTGCAGCCCTGCCCACTGGTTGCTTGAGTCATCGGATTCCGCAGACGGTGTTGCTCCATTTTTTATATACGTTTTATTACATTTTTATAGAAATCTTGTAAAATATATTATATAGAGAAAAAGAAATAAAGATATATGTAGATAAAAATCTTACTAATGAAAATGGGAAAGTTTAGGTGGATTGATATTTGTTACAGTTTGTAGCTTAAACTGCTGAATGGTTCTCCATGAAATGTGGCATAGATAGTCTGGAAGAACACATAGCTACTTACTTTTTTTTGTTAAATCCCGCGTATAATTTCGGACAAAACCAATATAACACAATCAACAAAGACAAAGGGTTAAACACTTATTTAAACGGCCAATAGCCTAATGTTTTGGGGTACGGACTACCGATCTTGCGATCGAGGGTCCGAATCCCGCCATTCGACTATTGTCGTGAACCATATCCTAGCACAAGCCTAGAGCTTAGTTGGAATGGTTAAAGGAAATATTAGTAAATTAACAAAGATCTACTAATATTTTTATTATAAAAAGAAACAGTTTCTAAAAGTTTCTGTTAACAGAGAATATTATATGGTTTTCGAAATATATTCGCCAGCAATATTTTGAGTATTAAGTCTTCATATTAAAAATAAACATATTCAATAACTCATTTCTATATTAGCTTTTCCATCCCGACGTCGTCAGGGTAAATTTTAATATTGCAAGGTAATAATAAAAAAACATTTTCTATTACGTCAAAGCTTACTAAACCAATTTTCAAAACTTTGCAAGTCTGTATCTATACTACTATATTAATTTTATAAAGAGGAAACATTTAAAAGAAATAAAAAGCTTCGTTATCGCTGATTAACATAGGCTATGTTTTTTATTATTTTTTTTTATTTCACAAGGATGAAATCACAAGCAACAGGTAGTAAAATGTACAATTTTTTGCTGTAAAAAAAAATGTAACTAGTGTTTCTTTTTTGTGTTTTTTTTCGGTGTCCACTGGTCATTATTTATATAAAGGGTGACCTAATTGTAAGGGTCCGGCAACAGTTACTTGGGTGTTCAGCCGTGGAAGCCCGGCCTAATTGAAACGTCGGCTTAGGGGTTAAGGTGGGTCTGATTTGTGTGTTTAGGTGAGTATCGACAAAAGAAACTATATTTGCTTTAGTCTTCAGTTATTTATTCTTGGAAAAGTTAGTTTTATACCAATTATTAATGTATTATGTTAATTTTAATCTATACAAATATAATAAAGCGAAAACACACAATAATTTGTGGCGTAGGATGTCAGTAATCACAGCATGTTTTTAAATAATTCTTTCTATAATAAAAAGTCCTACATTAACATCACGCTTTAGGCTATATATTTTGACGCTATTAAACTTAGGGGGTAAATAAATTGAAAAAAAAACCTTCATGAGGGAAAGAGACCATAAACTACAAGCTTCCAAAATTAAACAAGCAAGGTTATTATAGTAACGGCAATTTCGACATTTGATATTGAAAATTTGTCAAATGTAAACCAAAAAAATAAAGTTTTTATAATTTTATGCAGATAAAGTCGGATGGGAACAGCTAGTTCAAAATGACTTTGTGACTAATGTAAGTTTAAAGTAATATATTCAAAGATAATTGAAATTTCTTAATATGAAAGGTAAGGCAATTTATTCCTAGATAAGAGTTTCAAATCGCGAACACCTTTATAAATTCTTGGCCTTTATGAAAAATGTTAAACGTTTCATATTTGAAATAAAAAGTAGGATTTTTTAATAACGTACAGAAATTTTAAATTTAACTTTCGTGAAATTTAATAAAAGTGATTAAATTTTCAATCTACCGTGAAGTTTATTGGATTTTAATCTTGAAAAACGCCCTTAAACATCTTATGAAGGTAAAGAAGTAACTATTTACTGTGTGGAAGGAATTTTCTCACTAAAATCATAAGAATCTCGCAATGTAATAAATGTCCTGTTTATGTTCGTCTTCTCCTCCGTCAGTTAAGGGTAGGCAGCGCATCTGCAATTGCGAATTTTTATTGGGTATAGGTCGCTTTTCATTTTTATGGATTCAGTTGGCAGCTTGCTCGTTTGCTACCTTATATTATTAAAAAAATATCTAACAAGCTACTAAAAGCTGACTTTATCTCATCTCCCCTACCTTATTCTACTCCCCGCGAATCGGGTTCTCGTCCTCCAAATAACTCTATCATCCTTCATGTCAGTCATAATTCCCTTCTTGATCATGTCACCTTTCACGAAATCCATCCATCTCTTTCTAGGTCTACCTCTACCGGTGTCCAACACTCATAACTAACGTCCTTCTTGTTACATACGATTCATCCTTCCCTATAACACGCTAACCTTTTACTTCTCAACTTCTCAACCACTAGGGCTACTTTCAAACTTTCTCTAATATACTCATTTCGTATCTTATCCATAATATTTTAATTTTAAAAATTATATAACGCGATGCACAAATTTAAAAGACAGAACATCATCCGTACTAACGAAGTGTACTCGACGTCGCAGAGAATTCGTTATGAATAATTAAAAACATAATTATAACCCAATTGAATTATATTTTGAATTAAAATATAATTGCAAAATTGTTTTCTGAAATATTTCACAACACAACTGGATTACTCACAGTATTGTACGTCATCATCACTATACGTCCCCACCGAGGGGCTCGGAGCCTACCCTAATAAGGGGTGAGGCCGTAGTCAACCACGCTGGCCAAGTGCGAGTTGGTTGACTTCACATATATCTTTGAATTTCTTCGCCGATATGTGCAGATTGTATCACGATGTTTTCCTTCACCGTAAGAACATCGGGTAAATTATGTACATATAAAAATTCGAAAAATCGAAAATCACATTGGTACATGACGGGATTCGAACCCAAGAACTGTAGATTACAAGTTTTGTACAATAAAAATTTAATCCATACTAATATTATAAAGAGATTTTTGTATGTATTGAGATAATTCAAAAATTCTTTCACCATTAAAAAGCTACATTATCATTGAGATTATTAATTAACATACGCTATATTTTTATAGGTTATTATTTTTAATTTCACAGGGACAAAGTCGCGAGCAACAGTCAGTCATACTAATATTATAAATGTGAAAGTTTGGTTGGATGGATGGAGGGATAAAAAAACTGAAAGATAGATAAACTGCTGAACGGATTTTAATGAAATTTGGCATAGATGTAGACGATAGTCTGGAAGGACACATAGGCTACTTGTTTTTTTTTTACTGCTACGCGGACGGATTCGCGGGCGAAAGCTAGTAATAAATATAATGGGCAAATTAACGTCCATAATTGTTAATCAAATAGTACCACAAATGAAAATGGCAACGAATAAGTGAAAGAAAAAAGTATATAGCTATCTCATTTTTTTTAAAGAGAACAAAAAGGATGACAAGTGTATCCGCAGCGCAACCAGCCTAGCAAGCAGCGCTATTGACCCAAGCTATTTCAGTACACCTCAAACGTTTGATTTTTATTGAACCCCGCATAGCACGAACGTAGTATGAATGTAGGGTAGGAAAAAAACGTTATTTTATAGTACACTGTACCTGCGGGCTTACAAGTCTTTTTTTGTACTTTTTGTGTGCCAGGTCTTTTTAAAACTAACAAACTATGGACCAGAGAGCCTTACCTATATTAAAACATGAAAATTTTAAATAACATCTTTATTATTTACTAGCTGTTGCCCGCGGCTTCGTCCGCGTGCTATTAGAAAACATACGAACCATATAAATAACAAAAAGCTACGAGAACCGGACATTCCTCGGGGATGAACCTTATCTCATGTGTACTTCAGACTTTGTTTTATATCTGTGCCAAATTTCAATAAGATATGTTGGAAAGCTGCAGAATGATCGAGTAAACATTAAAAAACTGAATTAATGAATCCCACGGGAACCGTAACTATTCCCGGGATAAAAGTAGCCTATGTGGTCTTCCAGACTATGCTTTAAACCTGTGCCAAATTTCATGGAGATCCTTTCTGTTGTTTAAGCTACAAACGCTAACAAACATCCATGAATCCATCGTAACTTTTGCATTTATAATATTTAAATGATTATAATGAAGTACAGATAATTTATAATATAATTTAATAATAAAAAAATCGTTTTATTTCTTGTCGCGTACTCGCGGTATCAATAAAATAGTTTATAACCTAACAGCTATTGAAATTAACTTTCTATTGCCAATAAAAATGACATCGTAAAACGTTGTGATTCGCTCGAAATCGAATATTATTAGCTATCTGCAAAACGAATTTATTTGAATATTTCGATAGTACATGAAATTGAATTATCACCACTTTATTTATTATAAATCTCATTAAAATCGATGGTTTTGAGTTATATTAAATGATCTAGGTATTTGTGCAATTAAAATTTTATTGTACAATATCGGATTGTTTATTTTCTCATTAAAATTTTCATACTTTCCTCGTATGTACGTTGGAGCCTTTAGGACTAAGGCATCCCACTGGTCTTTCTTACTATCTCGTATCAATTATAACTTACTTGCACAATAATTAAATAAAACATAGTTTAAGTTACAACTCACAATATACGATAAATTAAATCAAAACAAAAAAAATACCGTCTGTAATCCATAGACAACATTTAATTTCATGATCACAGATTAAATAAGGCGCAAGCACAGATTATTTATACAATGTGACGTGTTCCATTTTAATTAAATCGTTAGCGAAAAATCTTATTACGAAATTCAATTTCAAAAGGCTTTTTGAATATTTACTCAAGCGAATTCTTCGTAAATTGATGTTTGCCAATTCTCTAACAGAATATTTTTACGATAAGACAAATTACATTTGAAATTGATCCAAAACAAGCTAACAACATTCATATTTAAAAAAAAAATATTCGTTATAAAATATATGAAAAAGTAGACGATTTAATATAGAAATTGAATTTAAATAGTTATTTGAAATTCGGATTAACGCTTTTATACGAATTTTGTATTAATTAAAAATGGCCGCCCGAATTTTGCTTTTATACTTTATAATGTAGTTAATTTCAAATATAAAATATTTGAATTGATATCAATTTTTTAATGTTTATGTGTAGTCTGCAACACGTTTATTATTAATTTTTTCATCAAATCCAACATATTTACCGAAAGTACAAAATTAAAATAATAGAAAAAGAAAAAGATGAAAAAATTATGATAAAGGAAAAACGGATAGATTTTATGCATTTTTCAGTCTTCCCTTTATCGTAGTTTTAGTGGGAAATATATTTTCTTCGTGTGATAAATAAAAGGTATCCACGTGTCGCCTAGACTTTAATGAAAAAGGACAGGCGATGCTGCGCGAACCTCGTTAACGTTACACGTGTTCGCCGAAGCTCTTGTTCGGCGTTAACTACGTAAGGTATGTTTCCACTAGGGTTGTAACGGATGCGATTGCGGAGTTAACATTTCTTGCGGAAGTACCCCACTTGCGGATGCGGAAGCGGAGTTCCGTTACAACCCTAATTTCCACTAAGATAGGACACGTATACGCAAGCTAATTTATCATTCTTCACAAGTTTGTCTTTAAATTTAATTTTGCTTGAATCAAGATATCCAAATCGAAACAATTTCCAGTGTTTGTTAAATTATTATTAGTTAAATGTTAACGGTTCGTACAACTTTTACTTGAAGAACTCGAAATTGGAATTCGTCCAAGAAATGATTTTCTTCGAGCACTTTCGAACGATTGGCTGACCTAGAATTGGAATAAATAAACTACTTACCGTTTTTAACTGTGAAAAAATGTAATAAAAAATAAGAAAAAACTACAAAAAGGTTAAAAGTGGTTCCAAGCCATAAATGACAAAAAAATAATAATAATGTTTTTAATTTCAAGCTTGCAATACCTAATATTTTGACAGACATTGACAGATGTCTTATTGATTTAGGTTAGAAATTCGAAAACTATGAAACCGTTATAATATTTTGTGTCCAAGTAAAATGAAAAACAATAACTATATGTATAGTAATTGTATTTTTAACGTTTCGATTAATTGCGACATACAATGAGGATAAATTTTGTATCTGTGATTCTAATTATCGTTGCCTTCGGCGTGCGTACATCTTCACATCCCATCGTAATGCAAAATATATTGGGACATTTCGTAAAGCCTATAAGCAGATGTCAACAAGAGGTAAACACGTGTAATTTATTATTATAAACTTTAAAAATAAACAAATGCAAGTAGCTTATGTGTTCTTCCAGACTATCATGTAAGCCAATTTTCATCGAAATCCGTTCTACGGTTTAGGCTACAAACTCTAACAAACATCCATCCATCTAAACTTTCGCATTTATAATATTAAAGTATGAAAGTGTGATGATAAGAAACGAACTCATTCGCATTATTAATTAAAAAGGTCATCTATACTTCTATACTAATATAATAAAAAGGAAAGATTTGTATTTTTGTACGTATAACTCTGGGCCGATTTCAAAAATTCTTTCACCATTTGATTGTTGCTATGATTTTATTTACACTCGAACGAAGTCGCAAGCAACAGCTAGTAGTAAATAATTTCGTAAAACAAGAATTAAATTTTAACTTTTATATGTCCATTAACATTTATAATAATAGTGTTCTATACTGTTTAGATGGGTCTACCCGACACCATATACAATGACTTCTACAATTTCTGGTCAGAGGACTATGAGATAACTAACAACGCGACAGGCTGCGCGTTCATTTGTATGGCGGCCAGACTCAATCTTATCGTCAACGGACCGAACTCTCACATCAACTTGGACACGTTCTTTCAATATAGCAGAAAACGTGGCGCCGGTATGTTCACGTCGCATAAACTAAAGCATACATAAACTAAAGCTTTCCACTTATCATAGAATATACTAATGGTATATTTTTTGTGATTACCGAAGGCTTTAAGAGTTTTGAGTAATTCGCAGACCAATGGTGTCCATTTTGGCATACGCCCTGGGTGATCTGTAACCGCACCCCGATCTGTATACAAATCTTGTTACAGTTTGTTAGTTAATGAAAACCAAATCAATATTATGTTCGTAAGATGCGGGTTCCTTACCACTATTGTTGTTTTAGACCCCAATATTTCGGCATGCGTATGTTCACGGATTGACCGAAATGAAGCGGTAGTGCGATTTTTTTATTTAATATGTTAATGTAAAACTTTCGGTTTTTCTCACTAGATGGCGGTATTACCACTTCTATAATAAACCACTTTCTTCGCAGATGATGAAACCGCAAAGCGTCTTCTACAACTTTTACGATATTGCGAGGAACAGAGCAAAGACGAGAGGGACACTTGTATGCGAGTTGTGCGTTGCGCAAACTGCTTTAGAAGGGAAATACACGCGCTCAACTGGGCCCCACCAATTGTGGAAACCCCATCACATTACAGCAACGAATTAGTGCCTTAAAACATCTGAGTTAACTAACTGGTTATTTAACCAAAGGTTTACTGTCTAGATCAGATATCGTGATCGTCTTGGGCATACTAAGACAAACATTGGCGTGCCTGTTTGTTTTGATCCTAGTAATATGGACAATACAAATGCAATTGCAAAATATTGCTGACAGTATGAAAAGCAAAGTTTACAGCTTGATCTAGCAAATATTGCTTAAATGTGTAAGAACTTTCTGATGAAAACAAAGGCCGGAGTAACGTTACAGCAATCGTTAAATTTTAATTTGGGACTCTTTATTGTTATTTTAAATGTTCTCTAATCAAATCAGTTTTTTTGATGTTGAAATTAACACGTTATAACATACTATATTTAAACAAATGTTGTCAAATTATTTAATAGAATAAAGCTATACGAATATTATTTATTTTCATTAGTCCACGAATGGAATTTCATATTTCCGTAATAAGAGGAAATTGTTTCTGATATTTATGAGTTCGGAGTTATTTCTCCGTTGAATAGTTACAAATTATTGCTTTTATGAACGCGGACAACGCGCCCTGGGGTCAACATTCACAAAAACATAAAATGTGTTTTCAATCTAACCTAAAAACAGTTTGCGTTTAATTTGCAAGATAATTTTATATTACACATTTAGAGATATTCTTTTTTTATTAAAACAAAATCATTTAATTATTCTTGTTATTTATTTTAATCAAATGTATTTGAAGCAAGTACGCTACGCTCTGGTCACTTAATGAAATTCTGTCTAGACGGTATCAACCATCTCGTACAGACCCTAATTTGAGTCCCTTTCTCTTTACCACCCTATTGTGTGGGTGCCCGAAGTGGTGGATTTGAAGGTAGAGATGCATAGGAAGGGGAAATATTCTCTTTTTGTGCGTCTCCTCCGTCGGATAAGGATAGGCAACGCATCTGCAATTCGGATGTCTATAGGCAGCGGTCGCTTTGCCATTTTGGCAGATTCAGGTGGCTGGTTGCTCGTTTGCCACCTTATGTTATAAAAAAAATACGAGAATTTGTTACTTGATAATGTCCATATTTTAAGATCTTGCCATTTTAGATACTTATGCTAGACTTTGTCGAAGAAGGAAAGAAAACTTAGTAAAAAGTGTGTATTTCCAGACTATGTTCTACATGTCTGTACAAACATCAAGTTCTTTAAAACCGTTTAGGAGGTTATTACTTTCGCCTCTTTAAAAAGATATAAAGTAACTACTCGTATACTGAATTATGGAAACTTAAAGCCACCTACCACAATTCTGACAGTTTTAACTGAAAAGTCGAACTGTACAGTTTAAACTGTGCGCGTAAAGTGGGCGTAATTCACTCTATAGAGTTACACCTGTTTTTTACTGTTTAAAGAAAATAAAAGCTCGTAAATGGATTGTCTATCGATGTAAGTTGTTTGCGTTCAATTCGCACTGAGTGCTTGCGAGGCAATATGTTCTGTTTAACAAGAATTTCTCAACGTATTCGTAGTCGATTTTCAAAACTAGTGTTTTCGTTGAACCGCCTATTTCTTCTTTTAATGGATAATCCTAAACTTGATGTCAACTAATTTAACGAAACTCAAAACCAATGTTTTTAAATCTTAGCTAATAATTTATTTACTACACTAAATTGAAAAGAGTATTTATTAATATAATTTAATAAAAATTAAATAAATTTCAGATAAAATAGATAAGAAACCTTTTTTACGTAGGGTAACAATATTGGTATTGTCATTTTGTTGTCCGTTTTAAGCCCGCCACACACGTTCAAGATTTGTTTAGATCATCAAATAAATCTAACAAACTGTGAACTGTTCAGTCTTCAGTTTTGCCATCATAGATTTATCGTAACGACTGGACTGTAAAACTAAAGGTGTGTAGCGGTCTTTATCCTGTTAAAACGACGGGTACTATGGTCTTAGTAGTCACAGCATTTGGTAGATAATCAGTAGTTCCTTCTAGAACGACAGGATTGCTCACATCGACCATACCTGGAACGGCCATTATATTTTCGTCGTAAATTGCGTTCTGATCGAACAGTACGTTTCTCACAGATAAATAATCTACGATTCCTTTTCCTTCTGCCAACTTTAGGTACTATTTCAAAAGTAATGGGTACAAAACCTTTGGCTAATTTTGCTAATAAATCTTTAGACTTCGTTTTACATTTACGTAGTAAAATTTGACGACCCCTTATCAATTCTTTGGTTACTATAGAATTTACTTTACTAGTACTAGCGTGGACAGTCGACTCTTTTCTAACAATTGCTTCAACATTCCCTTCTACAGCGTCTACCTTTTTATCTATGTTTTGTGTCTGATCTGTTTGTTCGTGTACAATTTCATGAATGTCATCGACTTGCATTTCCTGATCTTTATTACTTTCAATCTCCGGTAAACTTTGTTCCATTTGATTTGATCTAACGATACCAATTTTTTTTAGGAAAAATCTAAGTACAATTTACAAAATAACTTACAAAAATATAAAAACAACACTCGTCAGATACTGATTGTCATTATTTGTCAATTATCAATGTCATTTATGGTTCGATTTGAAATAAGAATTTAAACACAGATTATATCAAAATGTATTGAAAAAAAGGTTTTTAAAAAATTTTAAAACACTTTATTTGTTAAAAATATATTTATTGCTTTAAATACCTCAGAAATCTGTTAAATTCATATAAAACCTTACTTAGTATACCTGATACTGCGTTTAAGTATAATAAAACACAAAGTATTGTGAACACATATGTCCCGACACTATAAAGTATGGCACTTAATTTGGTTTAAAAAAAATATTAAGAAACAGATTTTATTTTCCTATTCTTATATTCCAAACGTAAATTTTATGAATAAAGTGGAAAGATTTATTATTTAAAAGTCCAAGGGCCTGTCCCACTACTGGCTGATAAAGGCTCAGATAGCATAAAAGCGACGCTACTGTCAGTTAAAGTAACAAAATCCGATATTTCCGTTACATATTTTACACGTTTGTTATCATACAATTTACAATTTGGTAGGACAGGTCTTAATAAAGTTATAACTAAAACTAAAAAAAAATCAAATATGCGAACACATGGTTAAGTGAAACCACTTTACTAGCAGTAAGAAATTAAAGCTTTAAATAAATTCTGTAACTATTATTGTGACAAGGTTTTCCAACATTTATATCAACGTAAAATTCTATTTTTTTCTTATTAGTAACAATTTAAAGTCCGTTTCAATACTGAAGCAGTATTTATACATAAATAAAGTTGTGGTCGACTTCCAATTTCTTCAACAGCCGTGTCGGTAGTTCCGAAACGATGTTCGAAGGTATTTTATCTGAAAACAACACAAATCTTACTAACATTAATACGAAAACTTGGATGTATGGATTGTAATCATTACATAACGACTGCATGAGTAGTGATGAAAAGTACAGATGTCAAACATATTCTGGAAGTGGTAAATCAGAAGTCAAGCACTAGTTCTGATTTAATTCCGTGCAGACGGAGCCGCGGTCATCAGTATGTTATAATTTATGAGCAGTTTGTTAAAAGAGCTCGAACCTTTCACATTAACTCTCACCCTTCTATTCCTTTTTACCAGTCAAAATACTAAACTGATAATTAAGTTAGCTAATACCAAATGTGTATTTGTGTAAATGTGTATGTGTACTGTGTACTAACCATTACACCGGTACACAAGGTTGGACCAGATGATCATCTCTTGCGAGAAACAGAAGACGCCGAGGCGGCCTCCCTTCAGCGTGAAGTCGTACACGTTGCCGGAGTCAGCTACCAGCCGGTTGTTCTCGTATATCTTCAGCCGGATGAGACCGATCTTAGGGCGGTGCAGCAGACGCCAACGGTACGCGGTCTTCTCACGCCAGCCGACATTGCGAGGGTCTTTCCAGAGGAGAGTCACCTGGTATTCACCAAGTTTAAGGATATTTTCTACACATTTTATGAGCGTGTTGGTAAACTATACATTTTTATTACTGTTATTAAGTCCCTAAATGCACAAGATTGAGTATAACATAAAAAAAAAGATTAAGAAGTCATAAAATAGCTCTCATGGGCTCGGTCAGATTGATAGGGGGGACAGCTGCCTCCTAAAGAATTTAAGAAAGTAAATTGAATATAAACGTATTTCGAAAACAATATTAATATAAGATGCCATAGCTAGATATAGTCTAGTTAATGATTTTGTCGTTGGGCTATGATTATTCTAAATACAGCAGTTTACCTTGATCAGCTCTGAAATCCATCACATTTTACCCTTGGAAATACGTAAATATTCACAATTTAATAGAATCTTACTTGATCAGGAGTGGATTCCGTGTTCCAGAGCGCGTTACGCAGCGTCTTCCCAGGACCGGTCTTTGAATTGACCAGCTTCAGTTGTATCCCGGGCTCGGCGACTGCGCGGAACGGCGTCGTCTGCCAGTACGTCTGCGTGTTCTTCTTCCACATCACCACGTAGAACCGCTTGTTGTTCTGATATCTGATATAATACAGTTAAAAGACCATTCTATCATTTTTCGTCTCTTTCGACTTTGATGATGGTTTTAAAATGTTGGTAAAACAATAATTACTTCTGTAGTTATGCTATTTAATGCAAAAATTAATTCAAGAAAAAATTATTATAACTTAAACAGGGAGGGTATAAAAGTAACGCTTCAGTCAAACTTTTTTTACTTTGTTTTGTTCGCGTAGTTTGAAAAAGAAATTGAGTGTTTGTTTTTATATCATCATATTTTACATTTGTTCTAGAAGATAAATGTGTGTCTATGTAATTAACCACAAAATTAATATTTGTTTTTTATACCTAATTTAAGTCCCTTTCTCTTTACCACCCTTTTCTTATAAGGATAGGATGGGGAAGTGGATTTGACAGAGGGGGAGATACATAGGAAGGGGAAATATCCTCTTTATGTGCATCTCCACTGTCGGATAAGGGTAGGCAACGCATCTGCAATTGCGGATGTCTATGGGCAGCGGTCGCTCCGCCATTTTGGCGGCTTCAGGTGGCGGCTTGCTCGTTTGCCACCTTTTGTTAAAAAAAAAAATACTCACCCAAATATAAATCCTACATAATCATCATCTATTTGAGTGTCAACAAACAAAGTTCCTTCGAAGTCAACACCACCGAAACTGTCAAAGCCAACAGCGAGTCCAGGGTCCGAGTTAAGGGTTTGCAGGATCTCGGCGCCGTCGTTAGCTATCACCCAGTTAGGGTCCTGCTGAGACTCACCCTCAGGGTCTAACCTTACTGTCATGTATTCTCTAAAATATAGAGAAATATTATCTATCTATTCATATCTATACTTCTACACTTAATGTAATAAAGCGTAGACAAAATTCTTTGTTACGTAAGATATCAGCAATTAGACCATATTTTTAAAGATTTTTTTTACAAAAGGTCTAAATATAAGACAAGCTGTACGCTATACATTATCACGGTACTTAATTAAAGGGATGAATAAATTGGAAAAAATTACCATGCGAGTACTAGACAGAAGCGATAAGCCAATAGCAGCAAAGAAGCAAGATTGTAACGGTAATTGTTAGCCAATGGCATGATTTTGTTATCTTTTAAGCATTTGAATTTTGACATTTACAAATAAAAAAATACGGAATGTGAACAATAAAATAAAGTTTTTATTATATCATGTTGTTACCCACGAATTCTCGTGGGTAATGGTAATCCAATCCAGGATTTAGGATTCCATTCCTGGATTGGATTATTACCAAAAATGCAATTCTCACCTAAAGTCAGTGCGGAATATCTTGGAGTTATTTGGACAATTGTCCAAAGAGTTTGTAACATTATCTCCGTCGAAATCATTATCACATAAGTCACCAACACTGTCGCCTAAAATATGATAAATGAAATAAAATACTTACAGTTACACTCAAAATCGAATAAGGTGACCAATTTAACGACTCTTCGTGCAGTATGTGAGAATTTCAAGTGAATTTTTAATTCAAGATTCATTTTAGTGTCAGAATGAGGTTAAATATATCAAATAACTAATAAAGAAGAGATAGAGAAACTACTAAGCTACTTGTAGAGTACTAAATCTTAAACTAGCAACTGATTTCTTTTCACAATTCCACCAAAACTATGTTATGTTGAAATAATAGCCGATTACTGAAACGAATTAAATACTGCGCTAAGAAAACACTTATAATCTGACAGATGTCTTAATTGAATTTGGAATTAAAACGTGATCTCGTGTGAACGTGTTCATGTGAACGTTTTAGTGTCCAGCCGTTAGTTAGCTTACAATCTCAAATATCTGAAATAATTACTATTTTTAGCTAGTAGTGAAAATAATAATTTTATTACCATTACTATCCAATTGATTGGAGTTAGGTACAAGAGGACAGTTGTCCTCTAAGTTTGGTATGCCATCACCGTCAATGTCATCATCGCAGGCATCACCCTTGCCATCATTGTCCACGTCCAGCTGGTCACTGTTGGCTAGGTTAGGACAGTTGTCTAAACCGTCCTGAACACCATCTCTGTAATATAAACGCGAACTTATCCTACACCTGTCCAGAACATTTGCCTGTAACTTTCAACGACTGGAATGGCAATAAACTGGCTTAGTGGAAACAGCAATCCATGCCTAATCTGCCCGATTGTGTAACTGGACTGTAACATTTAGTACCAGTTTTTATAGTACACCTGGGTGAGGTTTATACGACGCAGCCTTTTTTGACAGGTTTTGGAAGGAGGTTACTCGAGACTTTAATTCTCAGCTTTCCTTTCAATTAAGCAGTTACCAAAGTTATTTTTTTTTATTACAATTTTCAAATATCTTACTGGTCGCGGTCAACATCGCTGTCACACGCGTCACCGACGTTATCTTTGTCAGCGTCGTCCTGCGCTGGGTTACGGACACGAGGACAGTTGTCACACGCGTCACCTATGTAGTCACCGTCCATGTCCTCTTGACCCGGGTTGTGGACACGGGGACAGTTGTCATCCTCGTTTACAATACCTTGGAAATATTATGAACATAAGAAAAACGGGGCGATATAATGTCGTTAAAGAAGACGGAATGGAACTACAAGTAATTTTAGTAAGACTTAAAGTATTTGGTGTTACCATCATTGTCCATATCAGTGTCACAGAGGTCACCGATGCCATCGCGGTCTGCGTCCTCTTGTCCCGGGTTGTACCGTCGAGGACAGTTGTCACACGCATCACCTCTTTTGTCACTACGGTCTTCATCCCTATCCAGTTGATCCGGATTTGATACCAGTGGACAGTTATCCTAAAACAAATGTAAATGTTAATTTTGGCCCACGGATACAGCCAAGAGTGGGCAGTGTGGGCTAAAGCCATTAAAATCACAAAACCTTAACTGGAAATACTAAAAACTAAGATAAATTACAGTTAAATTGTATCTGGCCTTATCCGAAAATAAAACAGTTACTAACATGTGACAGGGTTTCTCTTTTTCAGGCTACCTTTGACCCATGCTACGAGAGAAAAAGTTTTTTTTGTTTTGCCCTACCTTACCTATCACATTAACATAGCCTATATTTATCTGTAGATTTTTTAACACCGTGCGAAGTCACCAGCTATAACTAGTTTACAATATAACTAACCGGAATATTAGGAATGCCGTCACCATCAGCATCAGCATCACAGGAGTCTCCAATGCCATCACCGTCCGCGTCCTCCTGTCCGGAGTTTGACACATCCGGACAATTGTCAGCTTTGCAGTGTATTTCGTTACACGGCAACTTATGGTCCGGATATCCGTCTATATCTCTGTCCGGTCCACAAACAGTACCGTTGCCCGCCCATCCGGTCTGAAATTGATATGAAAATACTTCGTTTAAAATCAATACTTACTAAATACTAAGTTTCTGATGTCTACTTCGTGTTAATACGACTGTAGTTAGGTACTTCTTTCTTATGACTACTTAGTGTTGTGGTGTCTATAGTTATGTAATCCTTTCTGGTGTCTACTTCGTGTTCACGGGTCTGTAGTTATGTACTACCTTTGGATGTCTACTTGGTGTTAATGTGTCTATAGTTTTTAGTTTCTAATGTGTCAATGTGTTTTTTTCTCATGTTAGTGTGTCTAGTTCGGAACTTACCGCACAGACGCACTCCTGTCCGAACCCGCAGACGGCGTTATACCGGCGGCAGCGCGCGGAGTCGCAGCGTTGCACTAGTGAGCCCGGCTCTAAGCACGGCCGTGATGTATTCACGTAGTAGTTGCCACCGCACGGCACGCATGTATACGAACCCTACAATACGTAAAGTAAAACCATTAATGCAGTTTACCTGGTTATGGACGTCAAATCTAGGAATTGCTAGATTCAACGTCCAATAATACAACCATAACTAGAATATACTCCTCCACTCATCACATAAAACGCAGAATCGCTTCCATCGCATCTCTGTCTTTTGTGTGAGTGTGTACTGGGTGAGTAGCCAAATTCGAGCAAGAGTTATTGCTGGCGTCTACCACTGTTAAATCAATTCTTTTATAGTAAATATTTTACTATCATCATCATCACCAACATACTATACGTCCCCTCAGAGGGGCTCGGAGACTACCCTCCTACCCTACGTTAGCTTGACTAGGCCTACTTAGGGTAGACCAATATTTTATTACAAAAGTACCTAATATGTTACATATCTTAAAATGGTCTTGTACGTCCCCAAGCATTACTGATCATCTAAGTTTGTTAGCAAGCATCCAGCATACTCAGACAGAAGACAGTCTTAAAAGCGTAAGATTCTACAACGCCTTACAAATAGTTTATACCTACCGGTGTGTTAACACAAAGCCGTCCTCGAGGACAGCTGGTGCGTCCATCTTCACACTCGTCGATATCAATGCAGCGCTCGCGGCGCCGCTCCTCCCCCGCGCCGCGCCACCCCGCACTGCCCGCGTACCCGGCAGGACACGGCCCGCAAGTAAACCCACCCTCCTCATTACGACACGAGACCAGCTCGTCGCATGGACGGATCAAATCACATTCGTCAATATCCACACAGCTGTAACCTAGGAAAAAATTCTCTATCAAGCATCATCAGCCCTGACTGAGGAGTTTCAAGTATAGACTAAGTTAGGAGTCAGTAGGCAATAGACGTTGGACTGGAGGTGGAAATGAAAAATTACATTGGTACTGAATTCGAACCCAGGACCTGCAGGACTAAGGCTTAACCTTAAGTCACTGACGATCTAACACTTATTGATGTACAGGATGTTAATTTTTGCACCGTACCTAAGAGAAATTTTAAATTCAAAATTAAAACCATAAAATTGAAATTTAATTTTAAAAATTACTCATAAGAATTTAACTTTAATAAGATTTAGATTCATACCACTCCATTGAAATCCTTTCGGACACTCCTGACACTGGTAGTACGGGCTGGTAGATACTGGCGTGCACTTCCTCTCCCTGCAAGGTCTTCTGGCGTCGCAGATATGCTGACATCTCTGCCCGTCTCCCAGGTAACCTTCAGGACAGGATCCACAACGTGGTCCTGATGATGTCTCTTGACATTCCACACCTGAAAACGATAAACAGAATTTCATTGAATGAAAAAAGAATCAAAACAAATTTTACCTGGCCTGAGTAATTAATTTTTACCATAAGTTTGTTAAAAATATGGCGGTTTGTTTTGAACAGAATTTGTCTCACCCTGATAGCACGAAATATGATGACACGATAACCTTTGGCAGTCCTCGCCGTTGCCATGGAAACCAGCTGGGCAGGGGCCACAGCGGTAACCGCCTCCAGGTAAATCTTGACAGGCAACACCTGAAATAAGAGGATTCAAAATTAGACAGATTTAGTACACAAACTAAAAGAAATAACAACGAGTAATATCGAATTTGATGATAACTCAGTAATTAAAATACGAGATTTAACACTTAAATGCATGATGATGCATTTATACATCAGTCTTCTCTTCCCTACCCAATAGACAATTTAAAAAAAATATTTATTTTTCCGTTGATGTATTCAATTTACTGTCCGTTTCAATTTAAAGTATTTAAAAAAATGCATTTAACATGTAATTACGTCTGTCTAAGATATAGAAGTATACTTACGACCACCGAAACAAGGGTTAGAGCTGCAAGAAGAACGACAAGTCAAGCCATCACTGCTCTGTCCTGAGGGACATCTTTCACAGCGGTAGCCTTGCTCCGTGTCCTCACAGTATTCTCCTATAATAAACATAGAATAAAGATAAAAGAAGATGGAATGCTATACTGTACGCTTGTTTACTTTATTCAGCTTTTATGAAAGGGTGAACTTAAATTCCGAGAGTATTTGTTCTTTTGTACCTTAGAACGAAATTCTTTAATGTTTAATTGCAATGAGAAACTAAGTTTCCTATTTAAATCACACGAATCAAAACTGATTTAGTTACCTAAATAAAGAAATAGTAATATAAAAGAGAAGTTTTCGCTGTTACAGCAATGAACCAACTAATTAAGGTCGAATCTTGACTCAAATATGAATGGGTTTCTGTACTCTTAACTATGCTCGTATTTCGTAAAATATATCTTACCTTGGGAGCAAGGTCTTCTGTTACATAGTATGGGTCTGCATCGTCTACCGTCTCCCTCCATGTTGCGGGGACAGGAACCGCATTGGACACCACTCGCCGTGTTACGACATTCCACACCTAGTCATTTGTTTGTATTATAGTTGATTTTAAGTCCTGATTTGACTGGTTTATGAAGGAACATGCCCTTTAGGTCAGGAGGTCAAATTTTTTTATCCTAATCATAATTGACTTTTTATGATGTTTGGATGTTTTGAATTAGTGTTGGTTCTGTTGTATCGTGAAGCAAACTTTTAACGGAATTCATGTTTTAGACAAGGTTTGGGCAACCTTTGACATGTTGAGGGGAAAACTGTAGCGTGCAATATTTGATGTTTGCCGCCTCACTGTCACTATCTGAGTATAAATACCTAATGTATTTTTTTAATTGTTTTTTTCAAAATGTCTCGCGTGCCGGATCATATTTTACAACAGACCGGATGCGACCCGCGGGCCAGTTGTTCATATATGTTTTCAGACATAAAATAATTCGTGAAATGCCGAATTATACCAACCTAGGATTTAAAGGCAAAACAAAGAAAATGTGCTAAATAAATCCAAAGTATCTCATTGAATCGAATAAAATATTTTACCTGATCCATTTGCCAAGATTAATCAAGCAACTCAAAGTTCAATAATTCCGAGTAGGCGGAACTCAAAACTATGTACAATGTAGGCAGCGAACTAAGCCAATAAAGGAATGTGGTTATTGAAATAAAACGCGTTCAATATTTACGAAGTATTTAATTAAAACCCACTCATTCGACAAATACATTTTGTTGCTTGATTTACCTTCACATAAACTATATCTGGTTCAAATCCAAACATTAAATAAACTAAACATTTAGCTGTAATTTGTAAATTCTAATATACTTCTGGTCAAGAACTTTTTACGTTGGGCGGTTTGACTAAACTATCGCACAACTGTTATGCGATTGTCGATTGTTTCGCAGCCAATTCAACTGTTTAGTTGCACAACTAATCAAGTAGTGTGCGCGCCTCCATATAAGCTAATAGGAAACTTAGCGGGACTCAACAGTTTTGCGATATTTTAGTCAATGGTGTGCATGCCTTATTTTACAATATCTCTCAGATTTATCAAATATTGTTAATAAGATAACCGAATAAAAAGAATTAACACAATGCTACCATATACGGGATTTACGCCTCCACTAGATTTAAAATTTGGATCGAAACCAGATATAGGAATGAACAAATTAAAAAATACTGAATAAGAGATTTCGAAAAATTGTACAATAAATTAGAAACTATAATACATGTAAAAGAAATGTTCAATAACCAGGATAACATGAAGATGTGGTGCATCTTTCGACCGGCGGCGGCGGTGGAGGTTGTACTCGGTTGCAGCAGACACGCAATTGGTTCCTCAAATTGTCAATATTGCCTTTCTGATCCGCCATTTCTCTACGAAGCATTTCAATGGTTTGTCTCAGAAGGTTTAGCTGACGAATTAATTCATCTGCGGACAAAAACATGGTACTATTAGTGTGTAGAAATAAAGATTGAGGAAAAGTTGTCATAATTAGGAAGGAATTGTGGACCGCAATGACAAATGTTAGATTCATCTTGAGAATGAAACCTGATGCTTGGAAATAACATGACAAAGACAGAAAGATTAGACTTAAAATACATTCAATAAAGAAATTGAAACCAAGTAAATCAATCAAGTCATAAAGTATATTAAATAGATAAAAAAGATGAATGAATACATACCATCACATGATTCTATATCCATCGATGGAATATCACCTCTTTGTGTAGTCGCTTGCGGTGGCTGTGGAAGTATCCCATTTGGATCTATATAATTCGTTCTATAATCATCTCCTTGCATTTGTTCTTCCTCTCTCTTCCTCCGAGCGTCTTTAGCGATGAATTCTTTGACATCTTCTACGTCAGATTTATCAGAAGACATTACTGTTGGTGGTTTTAATGGATTCTCATGAGCTTCGCAACTTAAAGCGTCTAATGCTGCGTGTTCATTGCCATACACTTCGATTGGTACACTTTTTTCATGATACTGGAAAAAAATATATTTTACCACTTAGAATAATTTTGAGCTAGTTAATTTTTAGGGAATAGAAAGGACTCGTAAGATGATTATAGCATACCAGTTTTAACTTCTGTTTAGAGAACAGCTGTAGAACATCGTGCTGTCCTGGCATATCATGCCAGTGGAGGGATTTACAGCCAGCATACAATTTCACTCTATCTGTCGCCACTACAAGGATAAGCTTCTCATGCGAATGAGTCCCGAGACCCCAGGACACTCCTTTTAGGTTGCTGCCGTTAAGACTCTCAAGAGATACTAAAAACAAACATACATTTAAAAAAAACTAATTATTTAAAAACGAATTAAAAAAAAATCCGATTGACACTCCTAAGATAGTTGGGTCGCTTTCTTTTTCTAGTGAATTTCTAAACCGAGCTAGTATATTCTTTTATTATTATTATTCACTAGTAAATGTACACTTACTTTTGTTCGTCTTATGATTATAGTACATTGAAATGGCGTCGTCATCGGAAGCCATGGCACGGAACAATATTTCTCGTCTGTTACTCTTCCCCTCTGGGCCTTTGATTAAGACGGCGACCTCTCCGCCGTCACGAGCTGAGCCTGCTGCCGCAATCACATCGTTTGTCGCTTCTGGAATTGAAATAAAATTAAACTTCAGAATAAATGTGATTTGTGAGATTATCATTCTTCAATTGAAGAGATCTATTTATTGATAACAGGGAATTTTCAGTCTTAAATAGCAGTGCATAGAGCGTTGCTTTTAAAATTGACTACCAATAAAAGTAAAAGGTTCTTAATTAGTATAGAACTAGCTGTCGCCATCAAACTTCGTTAGCGAGAATTTTTTTTAAGTCATCTATAACATTCCCGCGTGCATCTTCTTTCTGCCAGCTATCTTCATCATCATAATCTTCCCGAAATCAGGAATTCTCTTTTGATATTACTAACAGACACTTAAATTTTATTATATATATAGACGACTTAACATTAGTTAAATGAAATATGTTTTAAACAAATGAATAAAGCATATTTTAAATACTGAATAACAGTGTAGTAACAAAAAGATAAACGATTTTTTTTTGTCAATCTGGAATCCGCGAAGAAATTGTAACTAATGTCAATGGGGCAGCAAGATAAGAGGAACATTGGATAGAATTCATGAATTGTGGAGATAAGAGGCCTTCGACCTACTGAACCGTAGCTAGATACGAACGTATTGCAAAATCATATTTCGTGAATAGTTGTACGAATCTAACTCAGAAGTAAAAACGAGAATTAAAATATTACCATGATATTGAATATGATGATTTAATATATACCGTAAAATCTTAAAAAAATTTACAAGCAAATAAAATTTATATCAAAGTTGGCAAAATCTATAAAAAGACGCATCACCGTATCATTGAATCTTCAATAAAAGAATCCATTGTCCTGTCTATTTTAAAAACGAAAAAGAAACCCGTCTCAGAAGTACAGTAACTGCAGAACGCTGTAACCTAGTTTATATATAAAAGGGCCTCTATTTTTTTTAAATACTTCTATTTGTAGTTAGTGACTAGTATATACGACCAGACCTTTGCGTCATCCAACACGTTCCAAGTAACTGGAAAGCTGGATTAACGGCTGTAATTTTTCACACGCATTTACACTGTGAATTGTATTGAATATTTTTTATACAAATGTAACTCAAAGCTCTAACGTCGTAAAACATTTTATACAGTGAGTGTTTTTAAGATCGATCTATCCGACAAAGACCCTTATAATCTAAACTATTATAATAAAGCGTAAACACACACTTCTTTGTTGCCTAAGATCTCAGCAAAAACAGCATATTTTTGAATAATTCCTTCGTTAAAAAATAATTAGGCTATATATTTTCACGCCATTAAACTTAGGGGGAATATTATGGATAAAAACCCTAATGTGGGAAAGAAACCATAAGTTGCTACCACCATCAAGAAAGCAAGATTGCTTAGATTTGTCATAATTTCATGCGGATGAAGCCGCACGGGAACAGCTAGTTGTTATATAATTTTGGGACTTCTATGGCTTCTATAGATTGTAGTTAAGTTAACAGGCTGTAACTGAAGGTGTGTAAAGGACTTTAGTAATTTAATAACGGATAAGAGAAGGTCCCGTCTCCTGAACCACAGTTGCATAATTAGTTCAGTAGACAGAGCCACAATGAATTTTGTGAAAAAGTTTTTTTTTTGTCCAGTAAAGAGTTTTTAAATATTTTTAAATAATTCTGGTATCAATAATTTCGCTTGATCATATCTTAATCGTTAGATTGGTTAATTCCATGGCTTAAAATTAAAGTCCTTCAAAGTTGTGGACAGAAAAGTTTAGCCAAGTCAACTATAAACAATTTATTTCTTTAATCTTTTCCTAGAAAGAAACCATAAAAATTATACCTTTAGGTTCGCTCTTCATGATTAAAAACAAACTAGATTAATTCCATGAACTTACACGAGTTGATAAAGTTTTCCAAAGTTACATTTCTTTCCAATAAACTTGGAGAGTAAAATAAAATATGCAAATAACCCTACAAATATTGCCATGTACGGGAATTCAGCAACCTTCATTATAAGAGCGAGGGCACACCTTTGAATAAACTATCACACAACTGAGCGACTGTCGATTGTTTAGCCAATTCAACTATTTAGTTACAGAACTAAAAATCTAATAGTGTGCCCACCACCATATAGGCATTAAAGAGAGACTTGACAGTTGTGCGATAAATTAATCAAAGGTGTGCGCTCTAAAGTTTTCAATGACGCAACAAGGGCACTGACTTGCACAAAACCCAACCCTTTTGTTATTATTCTCGATTTGGATGACACAAACATAAGTTTGAGTCACGTGCCACTTTTTTGTTTCATTGCCGGATGTTTCGCTGTTTGCAATAAACGGCTTACTCGACCGAGTAAGATTTCATAAGGCTACAAAGCTTTCAACCGTTCTGTTTAACGTTTTAAATGTAAAGCGAAGTGTATATCCGTCTAATTGCATGAACCGGGAATTTCTTTCGTTTTTCAGCAATTAAAACTAGTGGGAATGTACTAGCCCTTACAATAGAACCTTCTTTTTGTTCCGTTCATTTAAAAAAAGATGTCCAGCGACTGGTTTATCCTTGTCCCTTAAATGACTTTTTATCTCTTGTCGCACAAATCGTCACTAAGAGACTATTTATTATTTATTTTGTTCTTACTTCAGTAAGAAAAATAAATTCTTAAACGTCGGTATAGCGGTATAATAAACATTGAACGCAGTGATGTGAGGATCGAAGTAACGGTCAAGGGATAAAAACCCGCCCCCGCCTTGTAGGGCCTTCCTGGACACGACGGGACCCTGACCTCAATACCCATCCCGTGATAAAAGTACAGCTGTCCATTAGTCTATTATATATAATAAAACTGGAATATCTGTATGTAATATTTAGAAGAAAACTATGATGCGAACACGATACATTTGCGTTCCTTATAATGAAAATCCATTTTTTTTTGTTTATCTGTCCGCAAGATCTTGTTTGTTATGGGTAATCTACATAACGGCTAGCCAATAAAAGGTAGACGATGTACTCGGGAATATTATAGTCTAATTTTACGCGCTGACGAAGCCAAGACTTACTGCTAGTGTTACTCGTAAACACAAGTCATGACTTATATTGACGGAATAGACATGAAGTCGCGGGCGAAAAATAGTGTATGACGTACTTAATTATCAAAAAAAAAACTAAGAATTTTTAGTATTATCAACTGTTATTATACTGCGGGAACAAGAGTACACTTCTAATCATTCAAATATTTCATAGGGAAAAGGGTAAGAATACGGTTATGAGGTAGACATTATGGGGTATGAGGTATGGTTATGAGGTCGTATTAAAACCATGGCTATATCCTATGTTACACCATAATCAATAAGCAAAATGTCAACCAACAATCTAAATTATAACACTGTTATTGACAAAAAGCTCCAACCCACGTACAATCGGACCGCTGTATTCCGTGGGACTTGAATTACCTAATAAAGTAACATGGTTACCAGTGAATAATTCTAAGCTAGAATACTATCCTTTAAGGGATAAAGTAAACTGGTGTTAGTGTAAATTATTATTTACCATTAGTTAACTTAACTATTGCTCGCGACTTCGTCCGCGTGGAATAAAAAAACAAGTAAAAAGGCAGCCTAGTTTTTGAAAAAGGCCCATTAGTTTTCGAGTTATTTCAATACATACAAAAAATACAAATATTTATAATATTAAAATCTAGCCTTTGTTGCGAATAGATAGACCTTTCTATTGGTAAAAGACTAATACGGTAATAAAAACGAAGTAACAGCTTGTGCCGAGGCTCCTGAGGCAGCCCTCGAGCTTAGTCACTCTCTAAACGTATATGTATGCCTCTTCAAGGCAAACAGTGGCCATTCAGTCACAAAACTTTGTAAAAAAAAATTGGTGAAAGAATTTTTGAAATCGGGAAGTAGTTTTTTTGTAAATCGAATAACTATATACAAAAATACAAATCTTTCCTCTTTATAATATTGGTGTAGATATAATAGATTGTCATAAGTACGATATGGTATGGTTTAAGGAATTTTTATATCAACCATTGTAAAATCGTTTTCAGATTTAATAAAGTCTTCCATTTGATGCGTTAATTCAACTTGATAATGTAATTATAGGATTCAATAGTGGAAATTAGCATGCATTAGATTCACGCTAGAACGCCTGTCTGAGCTAGTGAGGTAATACGATGACGTCACAGATTGTTCATTGAACGCACGTCGGCAAAACCTTGCCCACGCTAATTCCATTCAAGCCGTTATCTTGACTGTTACATAATCTTAACATAGCATTAATATAGGACACTAAGGGCCTGTCTGATAACAATGTAACGAGTGAAATATGTGATGGAAATATCGGATTTTGTTACTTTAGCTGACAGTAACGTCTTTTTTAATCTATCTGAGCCTCTATCAGTTAGTGGTGGGACATGCCCTTCATATTGTTATCAGACTATTTACAATTTGGTAAGACAGGCCCTAAGAGTCGTTAATTCGTGTAAAAGAGACTATTTTACGATTATGAGTGCAACGGTAAATACAGATTTAATTTCATTTATTATTTAATTTCATTAATATACTAGCTTTTGCCCGCGACTCCGTTGGCGTGGAATAAAAGGAACAAAAGTGAGTAGTCTATTGTTCTTCTAGACTGTCCTATATATCTATATCAAATTTCATCGAAATCTGTTCAGCAGTTTAGGCTACAAACTCTAACAAACATCCATCCATCCGTTTAACAGGTAACAAACATAAAAAAACAAATGAATTAAGAAGCCACAATAACACCGATAAAAAAGTTAAGACCCAATCATACTGTAATGTATTATTAGCTCCAAATCCAAATAATGACTAAGAACACGCGCACACTTTAGACAAAACTATCGCATAACTGTTTAGTCGCGCTTTGATTCCTATGTGCTTATATGGAGGTGCGCAGACTACTCGATTTTTAGTCCAACTAAACAATAAAATGGACTGCGAAACAATCGACACAAAACAGTTGTGCGATAGTGTAGACAAAGGTGTTCACCCGCTCTATATGTCACATCAAGAAATTATATCCATTGAACATGGTATGTCATGTGTCCATGACCTAAGCGCATGCGACTCCCAAATGAGAATAAATGCAACATTGAGTTCGCATCTCCTAGTCCCGAGTGAGGCGTGGGCAGGATGAGTGAACAAATGATCTAACTTTGATATAACTGTATTTTGCAACGATATTACCTTGCCCTCTGTAACAATAAATAAAAAAAATATATTACTAGCCGAAAAATAATATACCTTTGAAGGTTCACAAGGTTTACTCTTTGACGTTAAAACATTTGAATGATCTAGCGTCAAAGAGTAAAGCTTGTGAACTGTAACATTTAAATATCTGTCAATTAAAAAGGTTATTTAATTTGCATTTTAGAAATATATGCAGTAACTACAATTTTTAAATAGAATCTAAAACCCATTTACTTAGTATTATTCCAAGAAAATGTCTACTAGCAAGACATAAATTAACACATTATAAATAAACAGCAAAAAGTAGATTAAACGATCTAACAGACACGACACATCTTTAATAGCGATTAGGAACGGTCTCAAATAGAATCATAAAGTTCACATGTAATTTACTATCATAAATCAAGTGGCACAACAAATTGGACAATATAATTGATTAAACAGAACATGAAGAAGAAACAGATGTTTTTTACATTTCAACGTATAAATAGTAATGTTGAATTTATCCCTTACAGTGAATATTTTATGGTAACTATGTAGGTGTGATTGTTAACAAGAACATGTGGTCTTACCGATTTAGACCACAATGTGGGACTTATTGCAAGGTCTCCTTATTTGGAGCGTCAACCAAATCACATTTACGATAATCGTAGAGGTAAATAGATCGATGAAATTGACAACTACACAAGTGAATTAAGAATTCTTAGGGCCATTCCTACCACTAGCTGATAAGAGGCTCAAATAGCTTAAAATGACGTCGCTGTCAGGTAAGGTAACAAAATCCAATATTTCTATCACATATTTCACACGTTGGATTCAACAATTATCATCAAACACTTTATAATTTGGTGGGACAAGCCCTTAATATTATTTTATTAATGCGAAAATTTAGATGGATGTTTGTTAGACTTTGTAGCCTAAACGGATCTCGATGAAATTCGGCATAGATGTAGAGAATCTGGAAGAACACATAGACTACTTACTTTTGTTTTTTTGTTAAATCTGCGCAGACGGTGTCACGGGCGAAAGCTGGGAAACTTTTTAAGGCTGAACATTACTTAATGTTTGGGCATTGGATATCTGCAAGTAAATCGCCTATGATTTGAATCTTCAAATCACTAATAATACTTTACTTACCACTTACCTAAAAACCCTGTAAATGTAACAATATCACAATCCATCCCAGCTTTCCTTGGTAAGTTCAATGCTTACGTGTTTTGGACGCGGTTATAAAGAAGGGCTTACGCAAACATGTTGGCCGAATATGGCCACCACATGGCCCGTGACACACTGACCTTATGCACTAACAGCTAATCGTAAACTCAAGTAACTTTACAAATTACGTTCTTATTTCTGCGATCCATACAAAGACATTTAAGAAATACATAGACTTGGGGAACAACATTTTTTCACCGGTAACTTCTTTGGGCGGTAATATCTCAATGTTTGATTCATTCATTCGTTTGTGTTTTTATCCGACTCTAGATAGCGCTAGTGTGAAAAATGTTTCATACATCATTTTTTCCTCTATATATTTTTTAAATCTCTTTGGTGCTATGTAAGGATTTCTCCAATACAGCGATATTACAAGGTTTATGTAATTTGACGTAATTGGAGGAACTTTTAATTGAAATTAGAAAGAATTTCCTTAGAAAATGTAACAAAATGACTTGCGTCCCATTTGACCACGATACCAAATGACGTTGTTGCTGTGGATAGATGGTACGCGCTACATTAATAGCCTATACACTGCACTTTACCTCCCAATCCGCTAATAATAACGAAGTAACGACTCGTGGCGAGGCTCCTGAGAGAGTCCTCGAGCTTAGTTACTTAACTTAGTTAAACTAAGCGCCATCTGCGCTCGGCCACCTCAAGCCAGGTGAATCTGTAAATGCCTCTTCAAAGCAAGCAGTGGCCATTCAGTCACAAAAAAACACTTTTGGATATGACGGTACACAGAAAATAGCAACATATCTTTCTTAAATGCTACTATGTATGTATTACTTAACTTACTACGTGTTTCTAAACAAAGCGGAACAAACTGATCACGATCGTGGCAAGGTTAAATCTGTCGGCTCTAGATAGACGTAAATAACAGACCAGAGATATAGAGAACTTAGAAGCTCTCCTACATAAATAAATGAAACTGAATAAATCTGGATTAAATTAAACAAAATATTTTTCCTCACTCAGTATCAAGTTATGGTTTTTAAGGGTTGCCCTGAGTGACCACTAGACTGACTACGGCAGAAACTAAACTTAAAAACTCTTCTTATTTACAAAAAAAGTCGAAGTACAAGAACAGCTTACTTCAGGCTTGATTTAGTTTAACAACATCAAACTCAAAAAAGTAGTAAGTAAGAACGTAGTACGAAAGTACAAATCAAAAGGAAAATCGTAATAATCACTAAAATTACGCTAACTTAAGTAATTGTTTTGTAGTACATTTGGAACATAAGTAAACACTAATAGCTTTACTATTACGAGAGCCGTAAATTTGTATGTCGACATTTTATTTCACTGCCATAAAGACACGGGCTTGTGTCAAATGTCTTAAAATAAAGTACTATTCCTGTTATCCTTAGGGTGCTGTGTCACATTAGAAATAGAATGTCTGCAAGATTAAACAAACTAAAAATTAAAGATACTGTCGTCTGTAAGTCCATTAACACGAATTAAAAAAAAAACTTAATAGTCTATGTGTTTTTCCAGATTATGTTCTACATCTATGCCAAATTTCATAAAGAACAATAATCCAAACTTTCGCATTTAAAATGTTAACAAGCATATGTCTAAGATAAGAAGAGAAGAAGTAATACATATAAATCACGTGCTAAATATATATAAATAATAAGGAAGAAAGATTTGTATTTTTGTATATATTGAAATATCTCAAAAGTTACTGTGCCGAATTAAAAATTCTTTTACCTTTAAAAAGTTATTTTATCTGAGTAACATAGACTATACTTTCTACTGCACTATAATTCCAAGTAGACGAAGTCGCTAGCAACAGCTTTATTATAGAGAAATCCCTATTTTGAATAGAAGCTGAAATCAATATTTAATTCATGAGAACAGTACAAAAAATATCTTTGCTGTTACGAAATATATTGGTTAGAGAGGTAAATAAATCAACAATTAAAATCGTACATTGACAATTGGTGTATCAATGAAAACTTACCTTCATCAAACGTGAGCGCCGTGGAAGCCGCCACTGCAGCAAGGAGTAAAACAAAACGGCCACATATGGCTGTCGAAGCCATATTGCCTGTGAAACGGAAATTGCAAATATAATCCAGCCAATCAATTTGTAAGGAAATCCGGGATTTTGTAAACCATACGACTTTCCTTTACTCACTACAAGAAATGCCACACTCATAGTTTGATTTTAAATGGTAACTAAAGATGGCATTTAGTTTCGATTTAATGAGATATCGACACTGAGATACACCTTAAATAACCATTTTGGAGTATAAGAGTAGAATTGACTTCCTTAAAGCTTGCTAAAGACGTTCTCTAATTAGTTTAGGCAAAATTTTAATTGTGCAGTTCGACAGTTAAAATTTTGCCTATACGTTTTAATTATACAGTTCAACTAACAGTCGATATTTTGCCTGCACTAGTTTGTGTGTCTATAGGCAAAAAATTGCCTAAACACGCACCATGTCAGTTAGAACTGAACGTATACAGTTCGCTTTAGTTCAAATACATTTTATTTAGAAGAAATAAACATTGAACCTGTTGTATGTAGGCAATAAAACTAGTTTTCATTGTTTATATTTATACCATTATTCATATGTGACTGGATATATTCTTAGTACAGATAGTGCTACTTAAAATTATGACGTCATATAGTAAAACTTCATGAACAAGTATAAAATACAACTTGACAGTGTTTTTATATAATCCATGCAAGAAAAAATGTTTTTTTTTAAAGACTGTAACTGAAAAAAAAATATTAGGTCCAAGTTCCGAAATTTGTAATGAACATCGTAATTAGTAACAAAATGTTCTGAGTTATCTCAAGCTTAATTTTCAAGTTTTTTTTTTTCATTTGAGTGGGAAATTAATCTAAGGCCAAGATTTTATATTAAGCTTACATATAGGGTAGCTTACATATAAGGTAGGTGACTAAATAGTATTGAAATAAGTAAGAGAAGGTTTTAATTAATAGTTAGCTATAAAATTATCTCTGTTTTGGTTGCAATTTTAAATCAAAATAATAAGAATCTTATCACACCGCGGTGGACTTTTCAATGGTTTTTAATAAATAATGATAACCTTTAAGAGATTAAAGATAAAACTTTTCGAGTATCCAAACTTAAATATACATAAATAAAAGTTGTTAATCAATTAAAATTTCTTATTATGTCTACGGTAAAAGGTCAAAAAGTAAAAGTTCTTGATGCTACATCGAAATAAATAACTAAATACTGTACATACATGATACGATTTTTAGAGTTTTTATTTGTTTTTTAATACTCTATAAAATTAAAACTTTTAGAATATCATTGGTATATTACCGTTTAAATAATTGATCCACCCCAAATTTTCCCGCGTAAAATACGAACTTTAAACAAAGATTAGTACGGCGCGTGCGCGAACTGCGCGCTTTCGCAACTGACTGAATTGGTTTCAGATTCAAACCGTACTCGTCTCGTAATCGATTATCCTTTTTGTGCTTAAATAATATTTTAACTAACAGTTTATTTATTAATATCTTGCTACTCTTTAATTCCTAATTAACTTTATTTGGGTCTTCATTTTACTTTGGCTATAAACATAGGATAAACACAATAAACGACTCTTACATTTTTTCGCAACAAGAGATGTGTAGCTTAATATATGAATATTGGAGCTTATCTCTTTATACCGAACCTAAATTAAATACTGAGACTAAACCCTTTAAACTTTTACGTTCTTTTCTTATTTTTTTCGCGATAGGTATTTTGATGTTTTAAAAAACCATAGGACAAAAATTGTTTTACTTTAATACTAGAGGAATATGTTCATACTTTGATCAAAATTAATGCGTAAGATGTTCATTCAAAAGATTTCATCATTTATTATTTAATATTAATATGAGTTATTATTCTAAAAATCGATACCGATTGAAAAACTGCGGTGTCACTGCAACTTCAACAGCTTTCAGTTCTTTCTGCTTCCATTTTAGTTTGTAATGGCAACAAATTTCAAATATCAATCTATGGTTAATGTTTGAGTGTGATTTGTCTGCAAATGTAAATGTCATACTTAATAGAATCGTAGTATTTTTGTGATAAAAATATCGTAATGGCTGAAAACAGAGAAGAAATTCTAGCAAATTTTCAGGTAGTGTAACTTTATTTACTAAATTTCGTATTATCAAAAGCTGTAATAAATCGATAAATTAAATCGTGAAGGTTATGTGGAGATCAACAACAGTGACTATTAAAAGTCTTTTTATTTCTTTGTATCGAATGTAATGATTTTTTTAAGGTTTCCTTAAAAATTGTATATACTATTTATCTTTCCTTTAGTATCATATAAGTTATAAATATATATTCAAGGCATTGTTTCAATTTTAAAATTAATTCATTGTTGCGTTCTTTGTGTTCACCATTTAAAAGTTTAAGTTTCGATCTACGTTCGAATATGTTAAGTGCTTGATAAAAGTGATAGATATATACTGTGATATGAAACTACAACGTAATTAAGTTTTAGAGTTCCAATAATTAAGAAAATAGGATTCTTAGTAGAAGTCTTTGTGATAAGATCTTTAGTTAGATTTTAATTTTGCAGGGGATAACAAACATAGAAGATGTAGCTGAAGCAATATTACATTTAGATGAATCTAACTGGGATTTACTTGTAAGTATTTCATTTAATTAATTAATTCAATTAAATTTCCAATTGACATTTAAATACAACAAAATTAGAATAAAATCAATTTTCTTATCATTTATTGTGTAAAGCTTTATGATTGAAAATTTTCCTGACTTGTGAAACAAAGGAAATAGACATTGATATAACTTTAAATTTATAAATTCTTACTTAAAACAAAGCAGCACATTAAGTTTACAGAAAAAGATTTAGAAGAGATTTTTTTATCTTATTCCATTCTTATTTTCATAGTTCCTTAGCTCTTTAGTAAAAAGGTTATCATTACATTGATGTCTATGGCTAGAGGTCACTTAGTAAATAAACTACTCAATTTATTTGTCACAGACCGCAATCAACCGTGTTATGCCTCAAGATGGAAACTCCCAGAACTCTGTATCCCACAACACCGATGATGTCGAGATGATAGACGAAGATATATCTGTGATAACACCAAAAACCCACCCACCAGGTATGTAATCTGACATTAATTCTCACATTTAGAGTGTCATAGTGTTGTCAGAGTGGATATTATAGTGAGCAGACTGTATCAATGGTAAGTTTTTTTAACCACTTTTCAGATCGGGAAGAAAACATTCAAGCATCAACTTCATCGCCTAGAAATAGTACCCCGAACCTAGTAGAGCTTCAAGTTCATTATAATAATAAGATGCACGAAATCAAAATGTCCAGTTCAGCAACTGTTCGTAAGTAATGTAAAATGATTAGTTCAAATTCGACATTTGACTAATATAGTTATTAGTATAGTTTGTCTAAATAAAATATATTAGTTTGACAATTCATTTGAAATTTAGTAGGGATGGGTTGTGTAAAATCAGTCATGAATCTTATTGATTATCGATTTTTATTCTTATAGAAGTTAGAATCGATAGATTAATAGTTATAACATGAATTAAAAAAAAAAACTATTTTCTCAAATTAACAATGACATGCAGAACCATTAAAATTAATCAGAGTATCATAAAGAAATGTTTATTACTACTACAGCGGTACGTAATAGAATTGGATTTCGCTATTATTTCTGTCATCGCTAAATTCTCTACACTTAAATCAATACTAGAATTGTCCTCTAAATTAGTTAATAAGAAAATAATATTAGTTGAGTTCGATAATAATTTAAACCAAATATCGATAGTTTATAATTTTTCGCTATGCTTGTTTGTTTCGTCACTACGATACCTGTATAGAAGTACAGCATTTGCCTTCATACAAATTGAATTCGATATTTCATATGCGTCATTTATCAAACTAATCTATCTTATTTAGACAAATTATAGTAGTTGGAACAGTTGATTTTTTAGGATTTACATCAATTCCTATTGTTTTATCTTTGGGTTTGATACTATTTTATCACACTTATGGTCTAATACTGAAAAAAACATTGAACACTTCTCCATATCGTTACAATTTAAGCATATCCTTATTAGTAAGTGCTGTACATATTTAAATGTTGTTTCAGTATTTGACTGTTATTGCCAATTATAACTATGCAGTAATGTTAAAATAGTATAGTCAAATTTAATGGAAATAAGTCAACAACAAAGAAAGTGATGACTGAGATGTATGATAGAGTTATTTGGAGGACAAAAACTTATTGCTCCGACCCTACAGGAGTAGGATAAGGAGAATGATGATGATGATGATGATGAGTCTTTATAACAACATAATCCAAACAATTTTTCTCTTTAAAATGCTGTAATACACTTATTAAGATGAGATGTGTTTCCAGCGATTGAAACACTAAGAGCCTGTTCCACCAAAATATAAATTGTCTAATAACAATCCAATGGGTAAAATATGTGATGGAAATATCGAATTTTGTTCCCTTATCTCACAGTGACGTCATTTTTAAGCTTTCTGTGCTTATTAGTTAGTAGTGGGACAGGCCCTTGAACTTACAACACATCCATAGACAATATATTTTCAGCCAGTCACACATTTATATTTCAAGGTGGCACATGTACATATAATCTCTATGTCCATTAATTTTGACTTAACATATAATAGTAATTAGTTGGTAATACTTGTAAAATGTTACATATGTGAATATTCTTTCCAGGTGACTTAAAGCGTCGCTTAGAAGCGGTGTGCGGCGTGCCCGTGTGCCGGCAGCAGATCTCAGGGCTAGGCGGCTCGCAGGCCACCTCCTCCACCGCGCTGGCTGCACTCGGCCTACAGAGGAATGCTGTGATACGACTCAAGTCTGCTAACCAGCAAATGGCTGATGATGAGTAAGTCACTTCGGATTTTATAGACAAAACTCCTTAAATATGGCAATTTTCGTGTTCATTTTTGACTTTAAAGAGACAAGACCTATCAACTATGGGCAGTGCCTATTTATACTTGTTTTTGTATTCATTTTTAATGCACCTTGAAAAGTGTTAAAATTCATTTATTACAATGACCACTCTTTACCTAGTCCGTTTTTCTATAGTCAAAATTTGCGACGTTAATCTTAAGATCTGGTATTTTGAATATAACACGCCCTTAACCTAGAGCGGTAGGCAGAGACCTCAGACCTCTAATTGGTGCATACCTGACAGACCCTTATGCTTCCTTAATTTTTTTAACAGAGTGGCAGAGAGATTAACAACAACATATGTGCTCCGGGTGAAACATGATGAGAAGGAATACACATTGAAGTATCCCGGCACAAAGACTGTACAGGAAGTGAAGAATGATATATACTCCCTCACCGATGTACCTGTGAGGCATCAGGTAAGTACTACTAGATATGATTCTTATATATTACCGTAATTAAACACCCAAAGATGTTAATGAAAAATATAAAAAAAAATATAGACACATAGATGGCTCAGGCGTAAAGTCTGAAATTCTTTTGCAAAACAAATAATGTAATTAAAATGCATCACATACACTACAATTTTAAAATACTAAGGCCCTGTCCCACCAAATTGTAAAATGTCTGATAACAATCCAACATGTAAAATGTATAATGGAAATATCGAATTTTGTTACCTTATCTGACAGTGACGTCATTTTTAAGCTATCTGAGCCTCTATCAGCCAGGACAGGGCCTAATTTTTGACTGTAATAATTGTTAGGTGTGGACGGGCTGGCCCCCAGTGATGGGTTTAGACGACACAGTGCTGGCGATGGTGGGGCTGGACCTGCCGCAGCACGACCTCACAGTGCGCCAGGACCTCGCTAACGCTAATACCAACCTCAAAAAGGAATATAAAAGAGTAAGGAGTATTTATTATATTCATCAACTTCAACATCCCTATGGAGGGTCGACACAATATTTACTCTTCCATACATTTCTAAGAGAAGTAAGGAATACTATCGAGGTAGACATTTTCAGGGACTCAAATTGCCTCTATATCTGTATTTATTTATCTGTACTATACACTACTTTGTAGCATAGGATGTCAGCAATCACAGCATAATTTTGAATAATTCTCTTTTTAATAAAAAACACTATACTTACGACATGCTTTAGGCTAAGTATATTCATACTATTAAACTTAGGGGGTAAATAAATTTGAAATAAAAATCGCTTTCTACTTATTGTTACATAAAATTGTAATATAATTAAAATGTTATCCTGCAGATAATAGTGGATAGTTCTGACAGCGATAACAGTTCCGTGGAGGAGATTGAGGATTCCGGAGATAACTTCCCCGCGGAGGATGACATGTTTGACCTGATGCACTCCGGGAGGATTGTACCCTTGAGTAAGTTATAACCAACAATTTACCCTTTGTTTAACTATAAAATACTGGTTTTTATGTTTGTTACTTACAAAATAGATTTTTTTGTATATGTTAGTGTATATGTAAAGTGACTTTTTTGTACCATTTTTAAGGAAATAAACTGAACTGATAATAATTCCGACACAGTTATGAAAATGATCATAACATTATTTTTTTTTAGCTCAATGCTTGTTTTTTTTCGGTTATCTTGTCACAGATAGAGACGTTTTGAAAATACATTCATTTTCCCTATTTATGTTGTGATTATCTAATAAAAAAATTGCATTGTTTAAATACTTTACTGTTCAAATGGCTTAGTATTTCAGGATTTTCGGTAGAGTGGTAGTATTTTTTTTTTATGTTTTTAGTGTCAGATCACATGGAGGATGAAGCACTGGCTTGCATACAGTTCGCGAATAGATTCCGCGCACGCTACGGACCAAATACGCCCAATTTCTTTGAAGGAACGCTGCAAGACGCCATCAAGGAATCCTGCCTCAAACCGGCTAAAGAGGTAATCATTAAGATAACTAAACATATAGCCAAAAATAAACGCGGTATAAACTCAAACTTATGTATAAATTGAGTATAAGCAAATCATGTCATACTAATATTATAAATGCGAAAGTTACGATGGATGGATGGATGTTAGCGTTTGTAGCCTAAACGGCTGAACGGATCTCCATGAAATTTGGCACAGGTTTAGAGCATAGTCTGGAAGAACACGTAGGCTACTTTTTATCCCGGTAATAGTTACGGTTCCCTTGGGATTCATTAGTTTAGTTTTTTAATGTTTACTTGATCATTCTGCAACGGTTCAACATATCTTATTGAAATTTGGCACAGATATAAAACAAAATCTTGAGTACACATGGGATAAGGTTCATCCCCGAAAAATGTCCGGTTCCCGAGGGATACGTAGCTTTTTGTTATTTATATAGTTCGTATGTTTTCTAATACCACGCAGACGAAGTCGCGGGCAATAGCTAGTATTACTAATAAACTTTATACTAGCTGTTCCCGTGCGGGTTCATCCGCATAAAATTAGAAAAACTTTTATTTTATTGTTACATTTGTCAAATTCTCAATTGCAAATGTCAATTATATAAAATAAATTAATAATTTATATGCATAAAAAATATGTAGAGTACATATAAATAATAAAAAAGATACACAAATAATAATAGTAAAAGCTTGGACATATAGTAATGTCGTATGTTGTAGCGGAAGCTGCTGGGCGTGTACCTGCACCACGAGCAGTCGGTGCTGTCCAACGTGTTCTGCGCGCAGCTGCTGGGCTGCGACACCGTGCTGCAGACCCTCGCCGCCAACTTTCTGCTCTACGGCTGGGACCTCAGCTACCCTGATAATACCAACATGTACGTACAGCAAACAGCGGGGAGGGGGGGCAGTTAAAAGAGGGGGTGACATTTAGGGTTTGATAAGGTGGCAAACGGGCAAGCGGCCACCTAAATCCACCGAAATGGAAAACAACCGCTGCCCATAGACATTCGCAATTGCTGATGCGTTGCCTACCCTTCATTGACGGAGGAGACGCACAAAAAGCGGACATTTCCCCTTCCTATATGTCTGCTTCATTGTCAAATCCACCTTTTCTTCCCATCCTTTCCTCTTGAGAAACGGGTGGAAAGGGACTAAAATTAGGCATCCGGCACCACACTCATCAGAGTGTACGCGGAATTGCTTCCACTTCACGGCTGTTTTCTGTAATTATGTTTTATGTGCAGGTTGGTGAACTCCATCGCGAACGCGCTGGGCCCGGTGGCCAGCATGACGGTGCGCAGCATCCCCGTGGACCGGCTGCCGGCGCTGCTCATCATCATGCGCATGCGCTCCAACACTGAGATATATTCCGTTATTAATGGTATGTAACAATATAGGTTTCAACTCTGCACGGATTTGAAGAAAAAAAATCTTTTTTTTTTAAGATTTTTCTGCATCTGTGCTAAATTTTATCTGTTTCCTTTTCATATATGTAGGATTTGAGGTTTTATATTTTTCTTTTTTACAATATTCTTTGTCTGTTTTTAATTTGTCACTGCAAACAGACAGAATATAGAAAAAAAAATGATGAAAAAAGTTCTCTTTCCTCTTTATAATATTAGTATTGTTTTCTACTTGATACTACGGCAAATACTTTGACTTTAAACTGTACTTTGCTGGACTGGACAGTACAAATATATCGCATTTCTATAAACTAGGGTTGTAACGGAACTCCGCTTCCGCATCCGCAAGGAATGACTCCGCATCCGCTTCCGTTATTTCTTATGCAGAGTTATAACGGAGGTTAATTTACTTCTTTAACGCGTCAACAAACTATAATTGTTATACATTATATTTGCATAATAAACTGTATCTTGTATGTACCAATCTGTATTTTGAATTAACGTAGTTTTAGTTATTATTTCTTTAATAAATCGCTATTAATATTTTATTATTGACCTTCGCTTCCGTTTCTATTAACATCCGCATCCGTTTCCGTTAAAATGGTCTCCGTTACAACTCTACAATGAATACAACAACCGTATCCATTGGTTTGTCCCCGTCCCCAACATTGTACTGCGCGTTGCAGGCAACGTGGGCGTGTCGGAGCTGGTGGGGGGGCTGGTGGAGGCCATCGAGCGGTTCGCGGCGCAGCGCGAGGAGGACGCGCGGCTGGAGCGCGAGCGCGACGCCCGCCAGCGCGTCAAGCTGGAGCAGGACGAGGCCTACCAGCGCAGTCTGGAGGCCGACAGGTACATCTTATAAATGCTACCGTTTAAATAAATGTTAGAATTTGTAGCTTAACCAACTGGAGGATCATAGTCTGCAAGAACATATTGTTTACTTTTTAATTCCCACACGAATAGACTTAAGCGGAAAATCAGTGCGGGAGTAGCGCAATACTAAATCATTGCGATACACGTCCTGTCCCCATCATCACCAGCTCACTATACGACCCCACTGAGGCTCGGAACCCATACTTTTTTTTTTCGCGGGGGAAATCTAATAAAGATACCTTGTTTCCGGGTTGGAATATGGTTATGTAGGGTTTTACCTACTAAAACCCCCTCGGTGGCAATCCTCTAGTGCTACAGGTAGGGCTCCGGGATCTCCGGTGGAACGCACCGGTGCCCCACTACGTTCAGCTACTGCGCTTGCCAGGGAGCATACGCTCCAATTAAAAGATGTTGCGGCAACATCAACCGGAACCCATCCTAAGTTAGGGGTGACTAAGTTGGTGTTCAAAAGTGACTACTAGTAAACTGTATTTAAATAAAAGCTGATAATTACAAATTAGGTCATCATCATCCACTTGCCCTTATCCCTTACGGAGGGTCGGCACAGTATGTGCTGCTCTTCCATACATCTCTATCAGCCGTCATATCTGAATCCACTCCTTTCTTAAGCATATCCTCTTTCACACAATCCATCCATACTTTTTTCGGTCTTCCTCTTCTTTGTAGCCATCCTCATTCACTCTTAACACTTTCTGGTTTATGTCCCCATCATTTCGTTGCATAACATGTCATAATTACAAATTAGGTAAAACAACAATATAATAATATAAAAAAACTTGACTTCTTGAATAACGTCGCTTGAGAGTCGGGTCAGACGGTTTTTGGTCGTAAGTTGATACGTCACCCCACAGTGCTCTATACATATGCCTGCTTGGAGAGGCTTAGCTCTTCGGAGGTTATGCGCCCTCCGTCTCCATGGGCGGGGTACCATGACCATCACACGACCTTTTTTCTTATGATATTCCACCCCTCTTGACACTTCATGCCTCAAAGGGGCAGGAGGTCTTACCCTTGTGGGTCTAAAGCTGTCCGCAACAAGACCATAGTCAACCATGATGTACTGAAGGTTGACTTCACACATATCTTTGAATTTCTTCGCTGATATGTGCTTATAACTACACAGGAACATGTAGTAAATTAAATTAAAAAGTATATATATATGTGTATTAATTTGTTTCCAGAGCCAAAGAAGAAATTAAGAAGCAGCAAGAATTAGAAATTAAGCAGGAGCTAGAACGAGCGGAATCTGAAAGATTAATCGAAGAAGCTAGGAAAGAGGTACATATTTATGTTTTACTTTTGTAGAGAATTTTGATCCACAAAAAAATATGTAAGTTGAGGTTTTTTTAACTATGTACTTTTTAATATTATATTTCGTATTAATATTATAAATGCAAAAGTATGGATGGATGGATATTTATTACTATATCTAAGCATTATTATTTTTGAATTCTTCATGATTGTTGTTTGAAATTACATATTTTTAAAACAATACAATATTGTAGTCTAGATTATGAACACACTATAAGTTGTAGTTTTTTTTGGGAAAAGTATTAGCAAGTTTTTTATTAATTTATGAATATTTTCTTTAACCATTCCAACTAAGCTAGGCTAGGACGTTCTCAATGATCGAATGGTGGGATGCAACCCTCGACCGCGAAATCGGTAGTTCGTATTGTCGCTTGCCAGTCCAGTTACTGGATTTTTTTAATATATTATGAGGTAAGCCAAGGCCCACAAAGGGCTGTAGAGCTAAGGAAGAAGAAGAAGAAGAAGAAACGAGCAAGCGATCACCTGAATACGCCAAAATGGCGAAGCGACCGCTGCCCATAGACATGCGCAATAGCGGATTCGTTGCCTACCCTTGATCGACGGAGGAGACGTACATAAAGAAGATGTTTCCGTCAAATCCACAAGCAACCTACTCTACTACCAACCTATTCTTATGAGAAACAGGGTGGGAAGGAAAAGGGACTAAATTTAGGCCTCCGGCACCACTCATCAGACTGTACCCGGAATTGCTACTTCACGGCTGTTTTCTATGTGGTGGTATTACTGGGGACGAGGCTACAGTGCGATGTCAAAGCGGGCTCTACCACTGTTAAATGTGTAAGTGTTACTTGCAGGAGCAGCGTTTGCAGGCGGCTGGGCGCGTGCCGTGCGAGCCCGCCGCGGACAGCGCGGAGGTGTGCCGCGTGCGAGTGCGGCTGCCGCCCCCGCATCACCACTGCCTTGAGCGACGCTTCTATGCCACGGATACCCTCGCTGTTAGTATACACACGTATATACTATTATAATAAAGCGTAAACACACACTTCTTTGTTGCCTAAGATGTTAGCATTTACAGCATATTTTGAACAATCATTTTATTAATAAAAAGCCCTACACTTGCGTCTAGCTTAGGGGGTAAATATTTTGGATAAAAACCCTTATGTGGGAAAGAGACCATAAGTTGTTGTCAACATCAAGGAAGCAAGATTGTCAACATGTCATTTTGACATTTGTAATTGATACTTTCACAAATGTAAACAATTATATAAAGTTTTTATAATTTCATGCGGGTGAAGCCGCACGGGAACAGCTTGTTAAATAATATTTGAATATTTATATTTTACTTTATGACACTTTTTATAAAAAAGATTGAACATATTGTATTTTTTTTTTATGATAATATAAGCACTCGAGGTAGCACTAAACTTAAGACCTGATATAGTACCTTTAAAAGAAAGTACCGGTGAAAATATTTGTAATACAGTGTTTTTTTTATATTTCCAGGCATTATTAGATTACCTCGCGTCGAAAGGTTACCCACAAGAAAACTATAAAGTCATCTCTAGCTGGCCTAGGAGAGACGTGAGTATTATTGCTATATTTTTGTACAAACGGTAAAGTACAAAAAAATGTATTTGAGCTTGTTTTTACATTAAAACGCCTTTTTTTAATTATCACCGAAACTATTGGCATCGGTAGAGGGGACAGTTGATTTTCCCCCTTTAGAAAATTGAACAATCTAAAATAGATATAAAAAACTAATTTAAATATCATATTAATAGTAATTGAATTTACCTACTAAGGTCTGGCGATCCTCCTGACTCATAAACATATTGTCATCTCGCTCATCCTTCTTAAGAGAGAAAGAGATGACTATATTTCTGTACGCATGTACCAAGAATAATGTTTATTCCACAGTTAACGTTAGAATCTCACAGCAGTACTATGAAAGCGTTGAAATTGTACCCTCAAGAGACGATAATGCTGGAGGAGCGGTGAAGGCGCCGCCCTCGCGCCCTCGCGCCCTCGCGCCCACGCCCACTGTTTACAAATTTCCATTCCAATAACCGTGAAAACTTGATACTATCTCTCTCTCTTTATCAAAGAGAATGAGATACAAATGTTTCTACAGCTAACCCACAGTCACCTAAATCTTCACCATTATTACCAAAGGCGCGGGCTTTTCTATACAACACCGGTTATAACGACAAAAGCAATCAGTCGCAATAAACTATTATAAGAAAGAGTAAAGATTTGATTGTATTAAATTCCATCCGAAACTAAATATTTGGAAAAATGCTTTAACACTGACTATGCCGAGTTTTTTAAATTTACGTCGATGAAAACCGCGGTCAAAATCTAGTTTATAAAGCAGTTGTATAACTTTTTCTATCTTTTCGTCGTTATAACCGATTTAAGCGGTTTGTTCTATGCAATCTTTCAGATAGAAAATCTTTTTTTCACCAATAGAATATTTTTTATTTCTATCCGCTGAAGTTGGGTGGGTTATTAGGAATGTACTTTTAATTCTTATAAGAAAAGAAACTCAAGAATCAGTCTCTCTGTCGCACTTCCGTGTATGAGATATGTTCATCTCACTCTAACGTGCGTAAACAGTTTCCAGATTTTTCTAGAATTTTACAGAATCCCGCGCCTTTTCGTGTAATTTTAAAAATGACTGTAAAAGAAAATATAACCGTAACATTGCCATAATTGTATGAAAAACTATTTTATCTTGTATTTCAATAGGCAAGAAAAACGTACGTACAGTTCTTCAATGTAATTAATATATTTATTAGAACCAGGAATAATAACTCATTTTACTATTGCCGCTATGTATCTAAAATCAGCCAAAACTGACTTAATTGTGAGTTATATATGTCTTACATTAATATAATACAAATTATTTTAAATTGTTTTTTTTTTCTTGGTGTCCTATCTACGTTTTATCCATATTCTTTAACATAAAACATTACAGTTTGTTTTTAAAAACCAAAGGCTCAAGTCAACTGTTCATAATTTTTACAGATAAATAGCCATAGCCAAAAGGCCTGTATTTATTTTACTCTGTAAAAAACTGTTTTTTATCTGTATTTCAAAACTATTTAAACTCTTTCGCCGAACATATTTATTTGAATAGGTTAATATTCTTGTGATTCATAAAACGAATAAAAATTGTAGTAAACCTCAAATTATAATCATTTATAAGTTATCATGAGAAATGAACATTTCATCAATCAATCATTCATCACAAATATTAGTGAATTTATGATAAAATTATTTTATAATTATTAGATTTAATCAGAATGTTGCATGAAATTCTTCATTTAAATTTTATGTTGCTGTATTTATAAATTATATATAATAATACGAATATCAAATAAATATGCGCCAACAGTAATGGCGACATTTTATTCTTTGCTTGCATCTGCCTATTTCGCGCGCTTTCTTGTGGCGCGAACAAGCCATAGACAATGACGCATTTTTGATATCTTGTTTGTTCATCAAAATAATCAATGTAAACTTAATTTAACCTTTATCTGTGTAGAAAAATAAACTTTTACAATTAATAAAGATGAATACAGGCAGTTGCAAGATTTTTAAATAATAATTTCAACACAGCTGCTACATTTTTGACGTTTGTATTTTTTACCGCGCCTGTGAAATGAAGTCATGTTTGTGTACTGTGAGGGAGATATTTATCCAACAATTAAACAAGATGAAAATGCCTATAATTGTTTTATTTCATTCCTTATATATTTACCTAAATAAATAACACTAAAACGTACTATGAGAAAGCTACTCGCTTTACAAGATAAATTATTTAACTAGGTTTCGTCCGCGTGGAATTAAAAAAAACTAAAGTGAGTGGCCTATGTTTTTCCAGACTATCCTCTAAATCTATACCATATTTAATCAAAATTTGTTCAGTCGTTTAGACTACAACTTCTAACATACACCCACCCATCTAAACTTTCGCATTTATAATATGATTTTTAATATTAATTTAAAAATGTGATCTTTCTAAGTGGACGTTTATGAACGCGTTTCACACTATTAACCTTCATACGTTTCGTTAAATATGTTGTACCCACATTTGGAGGTCTTTTTATTATTTTAAAAAAGATTTCCAAGACTAAAATGAACAGAGACACTATAAACCCGCATACAAGAAATAATAAGGCCATAGAGAATTCTCTAATGTTTACAGCCATAATTTTACTGTAACGTTGTTTAACGCACGGCGGCTTGCGACTCTCCCAGTTTAATTTGATTCTGTTCATCAGACCAGTTTCCAACAGCTTGCTTACACTGTAAAAGTATTAAAAACTATATAAAAACCGTTACTACAGTTAAAGTAAGCTTAACCCTTAAATGCATGATTTTTTATTTAATTATAAAATCAATATTTCAGTATAGGCTTTGAGTCACAGATTAAGGTAAAAATAATAAAAAAAGTCATGGTTTCAATAAAAACTATAATTTTGTTCGTAGACTTTTGGCAACAATATGCATTTAAGGGTTAATTATATTATTGTAACCAGTAGCGTTAATAAAACATCGCATAGGGTCCTAGTTATGCTAAAAACCGTGCTAGTCGTAACCGCAACAATACTAATATACTACAAAGCACTTTTTTCCTACAATTTGTCATCATCATCATCCTCCTTATCCTGCTCCTGTAGGGTCAGCGCAACAGATTTTTGTCCTCCAAATAACTCCATCATACGTCGTCTCAGTCATCACTCCCTTTTTGATTATGTCACCTATCACGCAATTCATTCATCTGTTTTCACAACAATTTGTGTTTTAATAAACTTGTTAGTTTTCTAGCACACAGCTAGTCGTTGAATTGCCTAAAACCAAGCCAGTACAACTAAACGCTTGTGCAATTAACGTACCCAACAGCGATGTACTCTCTATACTGGGAGCCTTTAACTGCCACCGCGCCTACATACTGCGGCGGGAACAATTGCACCTCGCCTACTTCACAGATCTCCCTTTCAGAGAACGTCCTCCTCATAACAGCGTACGCCGCAGACGTGTCCACGTGGAAAGCAAACCCACCACGTTTGACTAGTGCCATACCGTACTCCGCGTCAAAGAAATTGTAGTAATTATCCGTGGCTATCTTAGCTTTGTATAAATCTAACGTAACACGATCTGTTGTGCGCTGAAAAGTTATTGTGATATTTACTTCACACCTTTAAATAAACTATCGCACAGATGTTGTGTGATTGTCGATTGCTTCGCAGACCATTCAACTGTTTAGTTACACTACTAAAAATCAAGTAGTGTAATCTCCATATCAGCTCATAGGAATTAAAACGAAACTAAACAGTTTTGCGACAGTTTAGTCAAAGATGGGGCACGCTTTATGAGTCTAGAAGTGGTCTAAAAATTGCCGCTTAGTGTAAATTTAGTTTGTGAATTCGGCATTATGCAACTGTCTTGACTGTGTTAATAAAAAGTTACTATTTTGGACAGTCATAAATAACACCAAATAAATATCACCCGCCCGGTTGCCGAATATCGCATATCGAGTGTTATTGTACATCAGGGACCTGTCCCACCAATTTGTATAATAAATTGTCTGATAACAATCCTAGATGTCAAATATGCTATGGGAATAACGGATTTTTCATTTTTTAGCTATCTGAGCCTATATCAGCCAGTGGTGGGACAGGCCCTAAAGTATGTAAATCTTAATTAATTCATTATCAAACCTTAAAATAATCTTTATTGAAGAGCATATCTTCGACGCCGGCTTTCAGATCGCTCTGCAGCAAGTCGTTAAGGCTGCGTATATAGTTGTACTGCTCGTTGAGCAAACTCGACAATACATTCGCATTGTAAAACTGGTAAATCATCATTGAGAACATAAATGTTACAAACATTATTATTCTCGCGGAAACTGCATTTTTATACACCGGCATACCTAAATATTAGAACTGAAATTTAATTTAAACTGTAAAGGGTAAATGAATATCGTAAATTTGAACTTACCTTGTTGACAAACAGCACTACAAATGAATAACCATATTAAACTCAGAGATATATCCCTGCCATTAAGAAAAATATTGGCACTTTGTATTTTTAATATCAAGTACAAAGTGAATCCTGCGATCAAGAGAACTCCAAACATGCAACGCCAAACAGCGACATCTAGCGGCCTGGTGTATACCGAGCAATAACTCGCTTGGTACTTTGGCTGACGGAATAAAAAGGTATGCCTGGATAAGAAAAGATTAATATATTATAACTTCCACAATTCTGTATCGTTATTATTATTACCGGCAACAAGGAATCTTAAAGGCCATCTGCGGCGCCTACACTAAAGAAGTGATCTTTATAGAGTTATTATGAAAAATCTCCACACAGGCTGATCCTTAGTGACCAACTAACGAATGAGTATACCAACGAGAGGAAATGCCTAAAGAGAGTTTTTCTTTATTTAAAAAAAAGCGACAAGACAACTTTGGTTAATTATCTTTTAACTTTGCTTTCACTGCTTCAACTTCTTATATATCGTACTTTGTCTGCCACGTAGGGACAACATAATCGACAACTTCTGCGCGATTTATTTTGAACAACACCGGAGAACATCCGAACTCTGCCTCCTGACGCTGCAGTGCACCAATGAGACCGTCAAAGCTGCCGTTGTAAGAATAACCCCAAGAGTTGGTACGTTGCACTTTGACACTAAAATTATCGTTCAAATTAATCCATTTAGAAACGTTGAACGTTTTGAACATTTAATAATTAAATAAATACTTACCTGAAATTATACATCTCTTGTAAATAACGGATGACCGTGTAAAATTTTAATTTATGCAAAGTATCTGTACGGTCGTGTCTTGATGCTTCAAGAAAATGCATATAAGTTTCATTCTTTAAATGTTCGGTAATAACCGAAACACAATTTAAAATGGCGCCTTTTAAATTATAACGACTTTGTTCCCGCGTAAACAAAGATGAATTCCAAAATCCTACATCACGCACAACGAAAATTCCATTTCGTTTAAAACCTGTGTTATAAACTTCGTACAAATTAAACCCTGTGCTATTATTATTAATTAATAAAACATTAGAATCCATTCTAAGTTGCAATTGGGATAAAATTCGCGTAGTTGAGTTTAAATTATTTGTTTTAACGACCCAATGAATTCTTCTATTGTTCGAATTTAGAAAATTCTCGAACACATTTATCCAACCGTTACATGATGCATCAAGCACAATTCCCACTTTTGTTTTTTTAATGTTAAGTCTATATTTACCAAAGTGATCATCTTTTACAGCCAACATTTTAATTCCCGCATCATTAAATGCTTTTTGTAATACAATTATTTGTGAATTATTATGGCAATGAATAAATATGCCATCATGAATATAATTATTTTTAAATATCTGTGCGATTAAAGAAAAATGAGGGAAAACCGTTATTAACAGTTTTAATGCTGTAATATCCATTGTAACTGTTATAACAAACTGTTACTTTAATATGGAACTTGGTAATTTATAGAAGCTATTTTAAAAGCATATCATAGAAAAATGGTCAGCTATTAACAATTACTGTCAGCACATATACCAAAGTTGAAAGACAAATTGTGCATATTAGATTAGCAAGATGTTGGCAGCATAAATGCTGTATTTTTATAGAATAGGCCTTGCGGGGAGGGCATGTAAGCTTAAAATGCATTATGTGTTTACTTATGTTTAACACAATTGGGATTGTGTAAATACATTAAGAATTACCTTGATTTTACAAATAAATACTAATCTTTAGGATTTTCGCTTTATTCAACAAAATAACAAACCAAAACGCACATACTAGAACCATTTACATTATGTTTGGATTACCTATTGCTTTCTAAAAAATTTCTATTGCTCTTTCTTGTGGAGAAGAAGCCTTACATAAACCTTCATTATAAGTATATTTTGAAAACATTAGTAAAATCTTTAAATTTACTATGGCAAGAAATATAATCATAAATTTGCACTAAATATTATAAATTATCTTTAATTTAATAAATATTGTGGTATTTTTGTGGTAAAAAAATAATGTTTACTGGTTAAAATTAGAAAACACATCTTGGAATGGAAATTCTGCAATTTCAGGCGTCAACAGATCTGACAAATAGCACACCGTTCCTGCAATACCTTCGTACAGGCTTTCAGGATTATCCGGTAGTCTTGAATCTCTAATGAATACTTCGCTCTTCATGAAGTTCGCAAACATCTTTGCACGGTGCAAATAATTATCATCTCCAGTCAATCTATGCAATAGCAAGAAAACATAACCATTGCCAGCTATTCCGTGGCAAATACCTGGACCTTTACGTAACAAACCCTTTTGCCATACAACTTCTCCTGCTTTTATACAGGAATCCAAGAACCTTTGATCGTTAAAAATGAGATAAGCTTTAGCCATCAAGTAAATAGTTCCCGGTGCTCCATGACACCAATGTATTAGTTTATGATCATCTAAAACAAGTTCTTCCATACAACACGGCCAGTTACCTTCTTTCGTTTGCAAGGAAGCTATATATTCTACAGTTGTTTTCACATCTTTCCCAGCGGATGTGTTAAACTCCAAATACCCAGGTACAGACAACAGCATTTGTAAAATAAAACTCAAGCCGTGAGCAGCTCCTAAATACTGAGTATTATAATAATGATACATCAGTGGACATCTACTCTTACTCTTCATAGAGAAATCACGACCAGATTCTACTATCACATCGCAAATGTTATACATCTCTTCTGTAGTCAGAACAGGTATTTTTAACTCCCTATGCATCCATAAAGCCCCAGCAAGGTATCCAGCTCTACCTACAAAGAATTCATCACCCCCACACTTCAAAAACTTTGGATTAAGGTATTGGTTGTAAAGGGCTTTGTAATTTTTGACAAAGTTAGTATAGCGTTCATCTTCTTTCGCTTTAAATATAACTGCGGCTAAGGCAAAAGTTCCAGCGTCACCTAGTAAAAATGACGTCGTTTCACCGGCGGAGCAGTCCAAAGCAGGTTGTAAATATTCTACAGCTTTCTCGATGTAAAAACTCTTATTTTCTTTTAACAGTGGGTTTTTAAATAAATTATAGAACATATAAGAAACCCCAGTCACGCCGACATATAATCCGCCGTCTACATTTCTGTTGGAGGGTTGCAAACGGGTTGTAATATTTTTTATGTACTCGTTAATTTGTTGCGTGAGATCATCGTGCGAAGGCTCCTTTTCAGCTATACCTTCCTCGACGTACGGGTTTGGAAAATATCTTACCATAGTTGCACTTGGAGTGTAAAAGAATTTAGAAATATGTCGAAACGAAAATAGTTTTTTAAAACTTTTGTTCATTAATTATACACAACTCAAACACAAATTTTACGTAAAAGAGATTTTTTTTTTATTTAATGTTTAGAACATTTTTTTCTCAAGAAAAGACTTGAGAGAATTCCAAAGAATTTTTGTTTTGTTTTTGAATTTTCTTGATTTTCATTTTCTGTCATTCTAAGAATTCTACCAACCAAAGAGTATCCAATATGTTAATGGCAACAAAAAGTGCCTTTATAAGTGAATTATAAGAGGAAATTGTACTATTAAACAGTTGTATTTAAATATTACATACCTTTGTACTATTATTTACTAAGAAATAACGTCGCTATGAATGCAGTATTAGTTTAAATGCCACAAAAATTGAAACCACTGAACCTAAAACGGAACGTGTTGCAAATGGCGCAGATTTTTTTTAATTAATTAAATCTAGACTAAAAAAGTTTATTTTTTTAAACAATGGCGTTAATTTAATTCAAATTAATATTAACATGTTATTTTTTACTAAATTTATTTATAGAGATATTGTAGATAAAGATATTTTTATACTTACAACTTGAATTTGAGTGACAGTGTTAGGGTTGCCTAGCAACTATATCTAGAATTTGTCTAGAACAGATGAGATGGACCAAAACTGCCTTTTGGACGAATTTAAATCAATAAAAAGAACGATTTTCCTAATGGGGCCAATTTATTGATATATTTATAGACAGTTGTTATTGTTGTTTTAACTAATGCCTATCACATTTAGCCGCGGAAATGTAGATATACAAGAACTCTTTCTACTATACATAATTTGAGTTTTATTTTAAACATACGAGGTCAATGAATAATTTTGTGTGTTTTCAGGTAAGAAAATTAGCTTTTCGGTCTAGAGGTAGAACGGTACAATCACTGGATATCGGCGGACCGCGAGTGGAAACGCCGCAAAGTGGTGATGATCGTTTATTTTTACAAATAAAACCTGCTTTAGCAGACCCTAGGACTGCCCATCCTGCAATACAACGATCTAGTACAATATTAACAGGGTGAGAAACATTATTTTGTTATTATTTAGTGTAAGTGTATTTTTATTTTTTTGTAAAAAAAAAATTACACCTTTATATTTCAGCAATGATGACAGTAGTAAAGGAGATGTCAAAGATGATATACTTAATTTGCAAGCCGTGGGGGAAGGAAAGGTGCAACTTTCTAGAACTCCACAGGAAAAAGATCGTTTACCTGATAGAATAAGCCTAGACAGGTATATTCATACTATTTTACTTATTATCCTTTAAAAAAATTTCCACTTATCTAGTTTTCTTCAAATATAACAAGACTTTTTTTTTTTCCAGACGTGGACTATCTTCGATCCCTAACATAGTCGGAGAGCCAACACTTCGTCTTTTGTCGTTACAACATAATTTGATCAACAGTTTGTCAGGTCTTATGCCTCTCGAGCTCGGAAAATTAGTGTTCCTTGACGTATATGACAATCAAATCGATAAAATTACTTCTTTAGAAAAATTATTTAGCTTACGAGTGTTATTGATGGGGAAAAACAGGTAAAACTGCATATATTTCAATAAAACCTTAAATTTGCTGTACATTTAAAGAAATTTAAAATAAGTGTTTTAAAACAGGATAAAAAGAATAGAAGGTTTATCAAATCTGCTCAAATTAGAGGTCTTAGATTTACATGGAAACAGAATCACGAAAGTTAGCGGCCTGTCTAACTTAAACGAGTTAAAGGTACTCAATCTGGCTGGCAATCAAATAAAATGCATTGGGCAGATAGATCTCCAAGGGCTCCTGTCTTTAAGAGAACTCAATTTAAAACGGAACAAATTAAGAAAATTGCTGGGTTTTCAAAAAGTTCCACAGTTACAGAAGTTATTTCTTAGCAACAATGACTTACAGAGGTAAGAATTAAAAGTGTGGTTTGAGAAACAATATATTGATTTGTAGTTATGTTTAAATTGTTACAATTTCAGTGTTGAAGACGTGTCTTCATTGGCCGAAGCCACGTCTCTTATTGAAGTCACATTGGATGGTAATCCTGTCGCATTGGGCGGTGACTGCACTCCATTTCTTGTATCATATTTACCAAATCTATTAACTTTATCAAGCATGCACGTAACGGAACAGGTAAGACCATTACGACAATCAACAGATGATGTACCACAAACAGATATAGCAGAAAATTGAAAAATAATTTACAAAACAGTAGTACTATTAGTGTAAATTTAAGAATCTAGAAAAATTAGACACTAAACGGACATCCATTTTAGCAATCACTTTTTTGTGAATGAATGCCACTGTTTGTCTTAAAGAGACATTTATAGATGGCCGAGACCGAGCGCAGATGGCGCTTAGCCTAAACCTCGTTTATGAGTTACTAAGCTCGAGGGCTCCCTCGGGAGTGTCGGCACGAGCCCTTACTTCGTTATTACCGGATTTACCAATCACTTCTTATATGTTTTTATAGGTTCGCACAGCTGCAATGGCCTGGCGTAACAATAAGGAGGCAGCTCACGCCGCGTACTGCGCTCTAGAGGGCTCAGCTCAGCAAGCTGCACGAAGAGATCAAATTATTCACAACGCTCGTACCAATTGGGAATTACTCAGGTATAAAAATGATATTATAGCTTGTTCTATGGTAAAATTTAATCTCAAATAATTGTTGTTTACAGAACTGAAAATAAATGCTTTAGTACAGCGGCATCTTTAGAAAAGAATACAGAAAAGGAATTTGTATTAGAGCAAACGTCGATAACGATTACGCAGAATGATAGTACACAAACGATTGATGGAACGATAGCAGAGAATGCAGTTAGTTTTCATCAAGAAGCCGAAGATTCTGATTATAAGAATGTGAGTGATGCAAGTACGAAAAACGTTAAGGGTGAAAATGTTAAAAAGGCACCAGTAAGAAAATTTCAAAGAAGCTCCACTGCTCGTAAGGTTTCAGAAAAGAGGGTTAATTTTTCAGATCGAAGCGCTTCCCAGGATACTGATGTATCACATTCTACATCAACAAGTAGTGATGTTAAACTACCACCCATATTGTTGCCAATTTTATCTTCGTTGGAAAATGTTAAACTATCAGACGGTACAGAATCGATATTAAAAAGATGGGAAAGTGTATCTAGTGTTGATCCAATCATAGATTCGTCGTTCAGTTCCTTTCCATCTTCTAGCAGCGATAGTGAGGACGAAACTAATAAGAAACCATTAAAAAGGATGCCGACCGTTTTGAGAAACAGACAGAACTTTAGTTCATCGCGGTCCAAGTCTGTTTGTGATCCTGAAAGTCGAAAAGTTAAAGCGAAAAATCAGGATCAAAGTGAAAACGCGAGTAATATATCCTGTAGCACTAATACAGGGTCGATAAATACATCATCTACATCAGGAAGTGATCAGAACAGTAGAGTATTACGACGGGAAGGTTCACTGAATAGTAGAATGAGTAACAGGAACGTAAGAAGTGCGACGATATCACGACGAAGTGAGAGAGCGTCTTCGAGTCATAGAGCTTCTACAGCGCGAGCGAAGTCCGGAAAGAGTTTGACCAGTCTGAAATCATCGGAACCCGTCCCAAAATCTATACCACCGTCAAAAGACAGGGAACAAGGTAATATCTTCGCAGACTTAATTCGAAATTGTAGGCAGGTTTTCTCTGACGAAACTAGAAGTTTTTATCTTACGGCTATAAATTCTCCACAAACATATTTCCTTCCTTTTCAATTACGGTATATTATAGGGGTGGATTACCTGGTGGAGGTGTGCGATGGCACGGTGAGCGCGTGGGGCGCGGGCGCAGTGCGGCGGCTGGCGCGCGACTGGCACTGGGAGCGCGCGCGCGCCGTCACACGCGCCGCCTTCCACTACGTGCATTTCAATGCTGTTGCTCACTCCTTGTCCGAACTTAAAACTAGGTAACTCCACAATTACTAGATTGTACAATATGCTAACAGGTTAAAGTAATGTATTACTTCTGAGTATTAAGGTATAACATCATAACAAAATTGCAAGGTAAGGCAAAATAGGACTTTTATCTTTTGAATTTCATATTTTTGTGAGTAGATAATTATTACATTCTAATGTTAAAAAGAAGAAAACTGTGTTAGTTTGATTTTAATAAAATAACCCAAAAACTACGGGCCCGATTTCAAACATTTTTTAACCATTAAAAAGCTACGTTGTCAGTGAGTAAGATAGGGTAAGTTTTATATTATTTTTTAATTTCACGCGAATAAAGTCGCGGGCGAAAGCTAGTCTTAAATGTAGATATACAGTATCATAACTTTATTGGTAACTATCTTTATTTACTTTTTAATTTTTTTTCTTTGTCTAGGTTTCCAAATATAACGCATATATCAGTCCGAGCTACTGGTCTACAATATCTGGGCCAATTACACGCGTTAGCGGAGTTACGAGGTATAACAGGTCTGACGATAATGCCCGAGGGCAATCCGATATGTTCCAAATATTGGCGGGAATATTCCATTTACAGACTTGCTCATTGGGGTTTGAAGGAAATTAATGATGAAAAGGTAATACAATTTTCTTATTGTGTTCAATCAATTCGATCGATATTACACCGCAAATTATGATCCGATTTTCGTATCTCTTTTTCGTTTGATGCGGAATAGCTTTTTGTCAAAGAGAAGACTTGAAAAGGCGTACTAAAAGTCGGAAATCTTGAAGTCATTTTCATTTTTTGTAATTTTTTTACTACATATTCAAGGTTTTCCTTTACCAGGTGACGGATGAAGAACTTAAATCAGCAAATAGGACATACCAAGGTTTGAGTGATATAGTACTGCGTGCCATCCCCGACGCGCCATTACAGCCGTTGTTATCGCGACTCGGCCGCAGCAGCAACAGCACAAGCAGCGCTAAAGCCTGGCTCAGAGCTGCCGATCCTGCTCTCAGAGATGTCATAGCTAAAGAAGCATTACAGTTTAAAAAGGGACAAGTATCTCAGGTACGATAAGTTCTATTATCTAATATCCTACCATAAATAGACTCGAACCAAAGTATCTTGTTGCTTGTTGGACATAATGCCAACAAGCCATTTCAGCATATCTCTTATTTATTTACGCTTAAATTCGTATCATAAGGATTTTACTTTAAAGAAGGTAGGATTTTTATTCAGTAGTAACTGCTGCGCTTATAATATTTAAATGGTTAAATAATCCTTTAGTGTATTCTCCAAGTGGACCCTGAAGTCTTTATATACTAAAAGTCTCCATTATCGGTCAATTAAAGATTCTGAGTGTAATGTGTTGGCTTTAGGAAGATATGAGCTGGCGTGTCCGCGGCCGCGGCGAGCTGTCGCACGCGATAGAGGTGGCGTGCGGCGCCGCGCTGCGCCTGCGCACGCTCGAGCTGCAGTGGCCGACGATATTCGTAGAAATGATCGAGGACATTCTGCGCGACTTTGTCGATATGGATAAACACGTTAAGGAGCAAATGCGAATGCTTTCAGATTCATAGCGATCTCAATTTTTTCATGTACACTTATATTGATAGATGTTATATAGTGATAGTTTTTGTTACAGTTTTATTGTAGCTATATAATTATTAATTATGACGAATTATAAATATATTTCTAGGTAATTCTTTTTTGTAACTATATAATGTAGATAGATTTGTTAGTTTTTCATAAAATTAGTGAACACTCGTCCTATTTGTACCGATAGTTTGAAATGAATAGATCTGTACCGAAAATAATGTCACGCATGTTCGATGTAAGGTGGATGATATCGGTTTAATTTCAAAACGAACTTAACTGAGGACTGATAAACATAATCCTAACATTGCTCAATAAAATTAGATTCTTAGCTAAAACTAAATAGTAGTTATTATTAACATTGCCATTAGAGTTAGAACCATAAAACTTTATACTTTACAGATTTAAAGATCTATTCTTTGTCCTGTAAATTAGTAGAAATAAAAAATATTGTTAATTTGTTTTTATTTATTGAACCTTAACTTTTTCGCTAAAAAAAACTTTTGTAAATAAGAAAAAATGTCTTATGTTGGAATGAATGGAATGAAAAATGGGAATATGTTTTGACACAAGTGTATCAACAGTGGATTAGCGCTGGTTCCAGACTTTTACATATTTTAATTTAAACAAAAATCCGCAAGAAATAGTGTTATAACTGAAACGTTGAAGTTTTTAAGTCGATTGTTCATTTTTTTTTAGAAAAGTAACAGAACCATTTCTAATTGTAATATATTTGGCAGAATTCCGAAATAGGCAACATTACAATGTCATGTTTGACAAATGACATCTGACTGACATTGACAATTTGCTCAAAACTCAAAAACACGTCAGAGAAAAGTGAATTAACTTTAAGTACATTTAAGAGTTATTCAGCTATGCATTAATTGTGAAGTATAAAAAGACATGGACGATACAGAAAGTACAACAACGTCAGCTGATGAAAACACCGGCAATCTTTGCGATAATCCCACAAGAGATACGCTCGCGGAGGGCTTGTTAGGACTTCTCAAACCGACTGTTGATAAACTTGACGACAGAGTACGGGCTACGAGGTGCGTAAATGTATATTAAAATTGACTTCAAAGATGTCACTATTAGTGAAATATAAGCTACATTATTTAATTGCAGAATATCCCAGTTGGAATTAAAACAGCAAATAGATTCACTGAATGAAGAGTTGCTAAAAGTTCGGGAGTCACTCAACAATCATCCAGACTTGGACCCTTATGTGAAGAAATTAATTACATGTAAACATAAAGTAACTATTGTTCTTAATATCCTACAAGCCTCACAGGTAATTATACATATTGTAATAGACTTTAATTAGACAGTAATGTGTTTCACATTTCAGATATCTAGAAGAAAATGGTTTCTATGCTATGAATGAAAGATACAATTTAAGATGAATTTGTAAAATCAATATAGTATTTAGAAATAAACAAGAAGAGTAATATGAAGAATAAACATCTACTTATTAGACTAGTGTGTACCATATTTTGACAGCATCATAACTTTCTTCAGGTGGAGTTGTGGTTAAGTGCTAGCTTAACAAAAAAATATTTTTTTTTATAATATAAGAGGGCAAACAAGCGGCCAGAACACTACAACACAAGAGGATATTACTGTTTACACAATTAAAGCCTTGGTGTCAACATTTTTAAAACAACAAATTTGTTTTTCAGGATAGATTAAATCAAATAAGACGAATGGTAGAAAAAGATAAACCAAAAGTAAAGGTCATATCGGAACCTTTAGGAGAACCTGTGCAAAGTACCAGCGGTGTTTCTGCAAAAGGAAGTATTAACTAACAATATGGAGACACCAAAACAAAACCACATTAACAAGAATGAATTTGATCATGTCTACGAGCCAGCGGAAGACAGCTATCTACTTATAGATGCATTGGAAAAAGATTTACAATATTTAAAAAGCAAGAATCCAACATATTGCTTAGAGGTTGGTTCTGGAAGTGGTATAGTCATCACAGCTTTCGGAATGGCATTTCCGAAGACAGTATGTTTTAGTACAGATATTAATCTCAAAGCTTGTTCCATGTCTAAAAGTACAGCGAGGGAAAATAATGTTATATTGGAAACTATTAATATGGATCTAGGAAGTTGTTTTATTAGCAACAAATTTGACGTGATACTTTTTAATCCACCATATGTTGTAACAGATACTGAAGAATGTGCCAGTTGTGATATAACTGCAAGTTGGGCCGGAGGTGTAAAAGGTCGTGAAGTCACTGACAGAATGCTCGGTTTAATACCAAAGATAATTGCTAACAATGGCACCTTTTACCTCTTGTTAATAGAAGAAAACATTCCAGATGAAGTTATTTCAATCATGGCTGATTATGGATTTAGTTCAGAGATTATTATAAGAAGAAGAGTTAGAAATGAATGTCAGTTAGTTGTTAAATTTTTTCATCATAAAACAAAATGGTTGAAATGCCAATCTTCTAAAATGTGAGAGTTTGGATGGATGGATGTTTAGTAGTATATACGAAACATCGCGGTATATTTATCACAGATGTAGAATATAGTCTGAAGGAACAACTGCTATTTTTTTTTTTTTTTGCATACGAAGTTGCTGGCGACAAATAAAAGTTGAAAATTAAAACAAATAAAACAGAACACTTTCCATTACCTGTCCAGTGATTTTAAAAATAATAGATACATAAAGATGGGCATGGCCAGAGAGAGTCCACTTCAGTTGAATTGGAAAATGTAAAATAGATTCAAAAACTACTAAGCTCAACTGGCCTATTCATATAGCATTGATTATTTTATTTACATAGATAAAAAATATTAAATGCAAATTACATAACTTGGACCACATGATGATGTAAGAAAAACATCTAGTTATATCTTTACATTACTATCATCTTTTTATATTTTTAATTTGTGGTTTGTTAATTTAATAAACTATGTAAGTTAATATTTTCTTCAATGCAATAACATTTTAGTTAATTTCTTAATTATTTAGTTTGTGTTAACTTTAGCATATCATTTTTATAGGCAAATGTAGCTTAGCATAGTAGGTAAATATTATATTTGAATGGCAATGTGGCATTTTTGTATGTACATTTAGATTTTGATTTAACTGTATTACTAGAAATTGTTTTAAAAATAAAGAATAGTTTGTTTCAATCCTTAATACTAAAATATGTCCATATATAGATATTTTATGAAGAAAAAGAGTAAATAGTTTTTATTAAATAATTCTAATACTGTCATTTCTTATAAATATCAAATCTTGTGTTTTAATATTTCCTTAATTATATTAAAAAACAATAACACTTATTTTTAAAAGATTTATTTAAAGAAATATATTTATTTCAGCATAATATACATTTAAAATACATGATTAAAGAGTTTCATTGATTAAGATTCTTCTTTACAGCTTCTCCAAATAATTTAGCTCCTTCTTCACTTTCTGTATAACCAGGTAAGTCTGCGCATTGTTTTAACCATCTTTGTATATTAGGGAATTGTGAAATATCCCATCCTACAGCCTGAAAAAAGTATAGTCTTAAAATCTCACCATCAGTAATAAAAATGCTTTTTTAATTTCTGTGTTTTCAAGTTACCCATGACAATATAAAAAAAACTCACCAATATAGCAGACACTGATGCATAAATAGAAGTGTCAGCAATTGTACAGTTATCACCTGCAACCCACTTTGTTCCCTCTAAAAACTTATCAAGAAAACCCAATGTACCATTCAAATCATCTTTTAACACTTTTGATATTTCCTTTACACCTTGGTAAAGGATTGGATACTGAAAAAAAGTAAAAATATATTATAACTGACAGGTATCAAAGCAGTGCCAGATTAGCCATAAAGCAAAGTAGCAAATGCTACAGGCCCCACACTCCAATACCTAACAGTAATTAAAAAAAATTGGATAGGAGCATAAAATATCTTGCATGCATTAGATGTGAAAAACTTAGTCTATATTCCTTTCAATATTCAGCTCTGTGCGAATTAGTTTAACTTGTATGTAATTTAACTAATTGCAAGTATATTTTAGATGTTAAACTATATGATTTTCCAATTCTTACGCTAAAATACGCGCACGGGCGCAATAGCCCGTGCGCGCGATAGACTAGTTACGCAGTTACGTTGACGGTTTTGGTTTATTTTATACCCTAAACTTGAAAACCTAAAGCAAATCAAAGGACCCTAGACAATTTGCTTCAGGCCCCGCGCTGGCTTAAACCAGGATGTATCAAAGAAAAGAACCTTTTATTTAAAAATAGAAACTCTATAAAAGCTGTTATTGTTAATGCATAAACTCATAAATAAATGTTTTATTACCCATATCTTTAAGTGAGTAGGAAGCAGTTAGTATTTTACCCGACCAAATGATATTTCTAAAACATACACATATCGCCCTTATCTTCACGTAAAGAAATGAACTATCAAAATATAATCTTTGATTCACTAATGCTCGACGTTTCAGATCTTTTGGATATAACGAGTCGTCGTTCCCGTACTTATCGGCCAAATAGCATGCAATTGCACGACTTTCCCATAGTACAAAACCGTCGTCATCCAGTGTAGGAACGCAGTGTTGGGGATTAATTTTAAGAAAACTTTCCTTGAGCTGTTCTTTCTTGAATAAATCAATAATTTCAATTTCTATTGGCGCTCCAATCACTTTTGCCGCTAAACAAGCACCGCGCGAAGGACCACTTAATGGAAAATGATATAACTTTACAGGAGACATGTTGAAAAATAACAGTCAATTTTAACTCTAATTGTAAATAAATTTTCTTGGACCAAGAGATATACGCAAAAGTAGAAAAAGTTGGAAAGAGAAAGTTTATCGGTCGTTGGTGTGGTGTGGTGACAGTGACCGATGAACGACGAAATCGAAATGTCAAATTGCACGTTTTCGTGTGAGTGCGTATGAATGTATTGAAAATAAATAAAAACGAACACTAGCATACATGTTGCGCGGCCAAAGCGCGCAATTCAAATGATCCCTTGCCCATTGACCAATGACTTCCAACGTACTTTAACATAAAATAATTTTTAAAATAATAAAGCAACCTTTTAAATCTTTCGATACATTTAATATAAAAAAAAAACAAAACAATTCAATCTGTAACAACAATACAAAGCTTCACTGCTTTAGATTTCTCTTCACAAGATCTCCATAGAATTTGGCTCCTTCTTTAATCTCTTCGTAACCAGGCAAATTTGAACAGTTTTTAAGCCATCGTTGGATATTCGGAAAAGACGACAAATCCCAACCCGTTTCCTAAAAATGAATAATACTCCTAGAATTTAATACTTCTTACATAGTACTTATTACTTCTAACCGAATAAGCCCAGAAGTTGCTAGTTGCTACTGTTGATTTTTTTAATACACCTTTTTTAGTATAAATGTTATAATATCCACTTACGAATATTCCAGATACGGAGGCAAATATCGTTGTATCCGCGATAGTTACATGTTCACCGGCCACCCATTCGCTGTCCGCCAAATATTTGTCCAAAATGGACAAAGATGCGTTCAAGTCATCTCGAAGGTTGTCTTTTATTTCCGTTTCAATATTAATTATTATTGGATACTGGAAAAACATGAAAAATATAAGCAATATTAAGTAATGATTATATTGATACTATGAAATCAGGGCATACTTACACCTATAGCTCGTATTTTTACAAGTAAAGTTGAGCATTCAAAATAAAGACGCTGGTTGACTATGGCGCGTTTTTTAAGATCTTTAGGATAAATCGTGTCATCGGTTCCATATTTATCCGCTAAATAACATGCTATAGCGCGACTCTCCGAAAGTATAAAACCATCATCATCAAGAGTGGGTACGCAGTGTTGTGGGTTTATTTTCAAATAAGCCTCACTATATTGCTCTTTCTTCATTAAATCCACTATTTCTAATTGTATAGGTACTCCAACTAATCTTGCAGCCATCAACTAGCGTTGGTTGCCAGGATAGCTCCTGGCAGGACCACTTACAGGGTAATAATACAACTTAATTGGAGCCATTGTCGTTAAACAATGAAAAAAAACACTATTGACTTTCGCTTATAATGCCGTGAAACCTAATGGTAATGGACTTACTGTCGATATTTTATCTAGACTTGTCTGAATATTGTACATGACATTTAAAAACTGCCTAAAAATGCTGATGACTATCGATTTATTATTATGTGGAAAATGGAAATATTACGCGTCATGTGAGCGAATGTACCAAGATAAAAAGTTAATACTTTACAATAGCAAATCATGCAATATTTTCACAAAAAAATACTTTAAACGATGTAGTATAAATAATTGGACTTAAATTCTGTCATATAAAATTATATTATCATCATCTTCGGCGTGGTCGTTTACTGCTGAACGAAGGCCTCTATCATGGATTTCCACAGTACATGGTCTAGTGCCGCCCGCATCCAGTGCTCTCCCCAATCGTGACCAGGTCATCGGCCTATCTCCAACAGTCCTTGGCCGTCATTGGAGGACTTTTCGGCCTCATCAGCCGTCCGATTTTCGGACAATGTGCCCGACCCATTTCCCCTTAAGGTTTACAAATCTTCGGGCAATACGTTGGTTTGAATTTTGGACGAGAAACCCGACCCACTGGCAACTTGTTACCCGACTTGAACGGGATAATTGAGTCCTCTCCTCTCTTTGGTGTTCGGATTAACTTATTAATTTACTTAGATACTAGCCGTTGATCGCGACTTCGTCCGCGTGAGATTAAAAAATAATGAAAAAAGAAACATAGCCTATGTTACTCACAGATAAATAAATTACTTATCTAACGGTGAAAAAAAATTATGAATCGGCTCAGTAGTTTTTGAGTTATTCAATACACACAAAAATACAAATCTTGACTTTTATAATATTTGTATAGAAAAACATATTTTTTAAATAATAAAACAACATTTATAATCTCTCATTACATTTAGTAGAAAAATAAAAGTATACAGTATTTCATTTTATAATAACAGTAAAAAGTTTTATTGCTTTAGATTTTTCTTCACAAGATCTCCATAGATTTTTGCTCCTTCTTTAATCTCTTCGTAACCAGGCAAATTAGAGCAGCTATTAAGCCATCGTTGGATATTCGGAAAAGACGATAAATCCCACCCTGTTGCCTAAAAATAATCATATGATTCTTTAGTGTCGAACTGCTGAAATTTTTTAAATGTTGATACCAATATCGACTTACGAATATTCCTGATATGGAAGCAAAGATCGTTGTATCCGCGATAGTTACATGTTCACCGGCCACCCATTCGCTGTCCGTCAAATATTTTTCCAGAATGGACAAAGATGCGTTAAAATCATCACGAAGGTTCTTTTTTATTTCCGTTTCAATATTAAATAGTATTGGATGCTGGAAAACATATTATATAGTTAAGACATAATTTATGGTAATGATAGTGAAATGGGGGCATACGTACACATATAGCTCGCATTTTCACAAGTAAAGTTGAGCATTCAAAATAAAGACGCTGGTTGACTATGGCGCGTTTTTTAAGATCTTTAGGATAAATCGTGTCGTCGGTTCCATATTTATCAGCTAAGTAACATGCTATAGCGCGACTCTCCGAAAGTATAAAACCATCATCATCAAGAGTGGGTACGCAGTGTTGTGGATTTATCTTCAAATAAACTTCACTATATTGCTCCTTCTTCATTAAATCCACTATTTCTAATTGTATAGGTACTCCAATTAATCTTGCAGCCATCAACGCTATCCTGGCGGGACCACTTACAGGGTAATAATACAACTTAATTGGAGCCATTTTCTTTAAAAAAAATCACTATCGAATTTCGCTTGTTATGCAGTGAAACCTAGTGAACTTGCTGTTGATATCTTATCTAGAATTTTATCTGAACCTTTGTTCCTATTATAATCCTTTGATATGGCATATAAAACTGTCTTAAAATTGTGATTATCAGTTATGTTTTTATTATGTGGCAACACAATAATGTTACGTCACGTGGCTGATCGTCGATTAACGAGCGACCAGTTGTTCAAACTATCCGGTCGACGTATTAATAGAGATTGGTCGTCTAATTAACCGACTGGTCGTTCAATTAACCGACTGGTCGTACTATTTATGAAGCGATCAGTCCTATTTGTTGGGCGACTGGTAGATTTAAAAGTTGTTCATACATTTTACATGCTATTATCTAAGAATAAAAAATAAGTACAGTTCTCACCAAAGTTGCTTGTAAAATTAAAAAGTCAGTTTAAGGAAATCATATTTAATGAAAACATAAAAACTGTGTTAAATTAATGTTTTTGCTTAAACAGCTATACATGTATAAAACTAGCATCTTAGGCATTGTTATGAATTAAATGTAACATTTTCTTTATAAACATTTTAATTCCCTTGTAGAAAAAAGTGGAATGTTGAAAAATAAACTTAAATAATAATTATCTTCATAAAATTCATATTGCAAATTTCATTGTTTCAGATTCTTCTTTACAGCTTCTGCAAATATTTGAGAACCTTTTTCATTTTCTTCATAACCAGGTAAATCAGAACAGTCTTTGAGCCAGCGTTGAATATTTGGAAAAGAGGATAAATCCCAACCTATTGCCTGAAAACAAATAATTAGATATGGTTTACTCAAGTAATATTTAAGACCAGCAGATCAGCTTACAGTTTTGAAGCAACGCAATAGACCAGATCAGAGATTAGTTCAATTTGTAGTAGCATACAATATTTTATTTGCTTATTGGATTTGAAAAAATATTTTTTTAACATTTAATTTAGTTGACACCAAAGTTAATCCAGAAAACAAGTTCTAATAACTACCTTTTTTTCCTCACCATAATTACTATTTCTATTACATTTTAAACTTTTATACATTTATTTACTTACAAATATTCCTGACATAGAGGCATAAATAGTTGTGTCTGCAATAGTTACATGTTCACCAGCAACCCATTTGTTCTCCAAATACTTGTCTAAAATCGATAAAGATGCATTAAAATCGTCTCGCAGGTTCTCTTTTATTTCTGTTTCACCTTTGTATATGATAGGATACTGTAAAATTATAATAAGTTAAATTAAAGTGATAATATTAGTAAGTTTAAACAGTACAAATTAAGAAACGCATACATACACAAATAGCTCTCATCTTAACAACTAAATTCGAACAATCAAAGTAAAGTCGCTGGTTGACTATGGCGCGTTTTTTAAGATCTTTAGGATAAATCGTGTCATCGGTTCCATATTTATCCGCTAAGTAACATGCTATAGCGCGACTCTCCGAAAGTATAAAGCCATCATCATCAAGAGTGGGTACGCAGTGTTGTGGATTTATCTTCAAATAAGCTTCACTATATTGCTCCTTTTTCATTAAATCCACTATTTCTAATTGTATAGGTACTCCAACCAATCTTGCAGCCATAAGTGCAATTCTAGCTGCACCACTTGCAGGAAAATAGTAAAGCTTTGTTGTAGACATTTTTCTTTAATAAAGAATAATTCACTCTTGTTGAAAAAAAATTGCAGTGCGATGAAACTTTCACTCACTTACAGTGAAACTGCAAAAAACAATTTTAAATCGAGTTATGAAAGTATTTTTTGTTGTTTTTTTAATTCAACCATTGTTTAACTCATATCTCTTCTACAATATCTTATACAAATAAGTAATAAGTTTCCTTGTTTGTAATCGCGTGTCTTGCCGATTTTCTAAACTTTGTTAACTTATTTGGGTAAATGCATTTTTTTACATATTGTTACAACTTTGCTGATAATTTATATTAACCTACATAATTATAACTTGCAGTATTTTTAATGATACATTTATTTAATAATTGTCAATGCTGAGTTAATTTATAATTATAGGCGAAACTGGCAACTTAAATTAATGATTTGATTTGATCTGTGTTGTGCCTGTGTTTGTGTTGTTATTCTCTTATTTTGTTTTTATAGTGTCATTTGTTCATTCTTCATTTATAACTGTTTTAATTGATGTTAATATTAATAAAGATGATGGCGTGTTTAACCGAAATAATAACTTGCTAAAACTTGTTTATTTCACTTGGTTATGAAAATATCATGGATGAAAAATGTAGAGTTTGCTTACAGAGAGGATCTTTGGAGTGTATTTTTAGAGTAAAAGGATCTTTAAATTTATCAACAAAAATTATGTCCATAGCTAATGTTAAGGTAAGGTTACTTTGAACTACATTTTAATTTACTTTTCCTACATAAACTTACAAACTATATGTGTTCTGAAATGTTAAAAACTATATTTTATCTTCTAGATATTCCCTAATGATGGGTTACCATCAACAATATGTAAAACATGCACAGAAAAGCTTGACCAATGTATTGAATTTATTGAATTGTGTCAAAAATCAGATCATACTTTACGATTAACCATAAACAATATTCAAAAATCATTGATAAATACCATAGAAAAGTATTATACAGAAAACAATCCTGATGATGGTATAAATAATTCTGAACTTGAAAATGATTATATGGATAAAAACCTTAAATTACCTCAAGAAAGAGCTATAGATAATATTACTAATGAAAAAGATGTAAAGTTAGAAAGAAATGTGGGTATTTTAAAAGTTGAAAATAGAGAATCTCGGAAACAACAGTGTTTTAAATGTGGCAAGGTAATGTCTTCTAGGTGGGTATTGAATTAAACACCCATTAATAATTGTATTAAATTGACTTCAGTTTAGTATTTTATCATCAAAGCATTAAATCCTTTCATGCAATGTCCTTTCGTACAAAAGTTATTTGTTTTTGTGTAATCTTTACTGTTTTAATAATAAATATTTTCATTTCAATTTCATTTCATTTTCATTTTAACTTAATTTTTTAGATTAAAGCTGAGTTAATATAATTATTAAATAATACCAAAAAATGTAAATATTCTTTTTATTTTTAAAGTTACAGTTAATTAAAAATATTTTTAAATTCTTAAATTTCAGGTTCCGTTTGAAAACTCACTTAAGGACTCACACTGGAGAGCGACCGTTTTCTTGTCCACATTGCAACAAAAACTTTTCATTGGAACAGAATTTGAAAGTCCATCTTAGGACACATACGGTACTTTATTTTAGAATGGATTTAGAATCCCTGTAAATAATATAGTAATATAATAATGATAATATTAGTTTTCATTATAACAGGGTGAGAAACCATTCAGTTGCAGTATATGTGGTGAGAATTTCGCACATTCTGCAGGTCTTGCGGTGCACAGACGAAAACACACTGGCCAGAAGCCTTACCAGTGCATCTTATGTCCACGTAACTTTCGTACTGTTGGCCATTTGCAGTATCATATAAGGTAATTGACAGGATACCACATGTGTGTTGCCAGTCGATTGTTTGACCAGGTTGTCAGGTATCCTCAAAATTGTTAAATCCTTAGCAGTTTTCATATCTATTTTACATTTTTATAGTATCTAGATCTGCCATCTCTGCCCCCCTCTGTCGACGTCCGTGGGAGACTAAAAATGCATGAGAATTGCTCAATTTGAGTCAATTGACTTATTGTTTCAGGAGACATACTGGCGCAAAAAATTTTGAATGTGCAACTTGTGGGAGAGCTTTTATAACGCAAAGCGATTTGAAACGTCACTCCTTAACGCATTCGGGAGAAAAACCTCACGTGTGCTGTTATTGCGGCGTGCGCCTTACACGCGCCTCACATCTCAAGAGGCACATACGGTTTATACACAAAGAAAAAGAAGTGCAAGCTGAACTCCGCAAGGGAGGAGAAATTGAAACACAGAAGGTTGGGGATACTATGATAAGTTTGGAAAATACTTGAATAAAAATATACATGTACATATTTATATTCATTTTTTATGCAAATGAGTACGTAATGCTTTTTTCCCCACAAAGGCGCAATTTACACATAAAATTACTTGTAAATGTATTTGGTTGTATATGTGACCAAAAATTTTTAAATACATGATATTAACCGGTTGATGTGTATCTAACATTAGTTATGACTTTCTTTGGTACACAATAAAGAAATAGGAGTTTTAAACCATACGAAAATATACTTTTTGTTTTCAGTTGAAAAACATATTTTTGGTAACTTTCATTTGGCAGTTGCTAACCATTATTTACTCTTTGATTGACATTGTTTTTATACTGGCAACATTAGAGCGTTCAAATTTTGAAATTCGTTAGTAACGAATCTTTTGTTAAAATATTGTGTGACCGAAATGCAAATGTGACTTCAAAGTTGTGCTGTTAATTAAAACGACGGTTGTTTTATTTCTCGTGATTGTTTTTCCAGACTTATTAACGAGAACGTTTTAACATTTAAAACGCGTGTAGTAGTTGTAATTTTCTTAATCTACGACGGAACTGTAAACGCTAGTTGGTAACAATGCCGGCCCGTGATATTTATTATTCCGACAAATATTATGACGATGACTTCGAATACAGGTAGTTATTTGACCATATTAATGACATTATGTAAAGTAAATTAATTAAATTGTCTAGACAGGTGTATTTTAAATAATCATTACATTAATTCCTGTATTTACATTGGCCCTGCATATTTTAGACAGCACAAGTACATTTGTCACTACATGTAAATCGTTTAAACATTCTATAATTAATGCTTGCTATAGAAATATCTAGATTCTTTTTTCTTTAATAGGGTTCCCTTGTGTGTTGTCTTAATTTTCTTTAATTAATAACACGACATTGAGCGTAGTAGGTTACGTTATACGTATATTTATATGTGTTATTTCCCGTTTCAGATTTCAAACTTGATTTCCATAAACTATGTTTCGTAAAGATTATATTTACAAAATGTCAATAGAATCTTTATTTTTTTTACAACTTATTACAATTCATTTATTTACTTTACTAAAGCTAATTGTTCCGTATTAATGTAAAACATACTGTTTATAACTGCTCTGATATACGATATTTACATTTTCTTTTTCAGACATGTTGTATTACCAAAGGATATGGTGAAATTGGTGCCAAAGAACCATCTCATGTCTGAGCAGGAGTGGCGTAATATTGGAGTGCAGCAGAGTCAAGGATGGGTGCATTACATGACACATCAACCTGGTAAATGACACATTTTTATATTTTATTTTAAATACCTTAAACATATAACATAAGACCTAATCAACTTGCTCTTGTCCATATATAGTGTTTGCACAGAATATGCTCTTCTATCATCCATCATATCGGAATTCACTGTCTTTAGCATATTCTCTACACAATCTTTTCTTTAATCTTTATACCTTTGTAGCCATCCACTTTCAATCTTTACATCATTACTTAATATAAGACCTAAGAGAAAGAGTTATATTTTACTGTACTGAGGAGACATCTAATGGGTACTAAATGGATAAAGAAAAGTGTACACAAGCATATATCTTACACTTATAAACCCTTTATCTCCCGATGATACTTAATATTACATTTTTTCAGCCTCTTGCATGTAATACTGAGACTTGAAATTTATGAACAATGTTAAACTTGTAATTGCAAATGTATCCAATTTTTCCAGAACCCCATATCTTATTGTTCCGAAGGAAGATAACAACACAGCCGAAGAAGACCTAAAGTTTTGGGTGGTAAAGATTTGTACATTCATTGATGAGTTAATTTTTAAAGGTAAAATATAAGCTGACTCATAACAAACTTCAAATATCAGGGTCGAGTTACTTAGTTCTCTTTAATTTGGTTATTATAGTATGTTAAATAACTGGTAGTGATTTTTTACTGTTTAGTCATTTAAATCTAACATTTCTTGTAGAAATTATGAAATGTTACTTTACCTTCAATAAGTTACTATACAGATTAAATCTATTTTACCTAAAATTGCTGGATAGATTTTAGATTTAGTAGAATTATAAAATTGAGTTTGTTTGAATGTTGATAAAGTTTGGTTTGTTATGGGTTTGATCATCATTCCGTAATTTAGATTGTTTTAAGTAAGTCATTAATTTAAGAAGTCCAGTGCCTTACATGACAATAATGAATTATAGCTTATGTAAATTTTATTCTAAATGTTCCTTTCTCAAATTATAGCTTGTAAATATGTTTTAATATAGTAATCTGCAAGTTGTGCTTCTTTTAACCAGAATTATGGAAATTAATGAAATGTAGTTATTAATATTTCTTAAATGTTATTCTTTAAGCAGTAATTAGGCATCTAGATTTTTGCAGCATTGATTTTTTGACATTTGTAATATATTGATGGGTGAAAGGCTGTTTGTTTTAAGCACCATTAGGTTAAATGTTCAGAGGAGTTAAATTTTCCAATCGGTTCGAGGTTAAAATTACTATAATTCTGCATACTTTATTACTTATTTCATATTTAAAATTTGCTGATTCTGAATATATATGTATAAGTCAATATTGCATACAATGGCGGTTAAAACAAATTGCTTCCCCCATCAATATTAAGTTTATTGATTGAAAAATAATACCTCAAATGTTAAATTTCTATTTATTTTGCATATAAAATTTACACAAAACCATCACAATCGTATTTAACTATTATTATACCATAGTTTTAATAATTGTCATACAATTCTTTAAATTAACATGAAATTGAAGTTTTAAAAACAAAGTAAATTCGTGATCAAAGTTTTGATATTTTTTTAATCTGTTTAATACTGTAATTCAGGAAATTTTGAAGTCTTGCCTATTTCAAAGATAATCTAAATCATGTTTTAAAAACATTTATCAATCTCGGAGCCAATCTTGATTTATACAAATTTATGAAGAGACATATTTCTGCTTATTTCAAAATGTTAATACTTTTATACTGCCTATGTAAGATTTAGTAATAGTTAAACATTTTGTGGAATTCCAATTTGTTCTCATTTTACAATTTTACATGTAGACGCACTGGCATTTACTTATGTTTTGAAATTTGGATATTTTTTTAATTATAAATTGTATATAATGTAAATGTAGAAGAATATTGGCAGTAAATAATTTTGTCAAACTTTGTGTTTTGAAAATCTCAATCAGATAAATTATTTGGTGCTAAAAATTGTTTTTTTTTTCCTTAACATATTTTTATAACACTAAAGAAAGTCTTAGTGTAAAAAATTTGATTATTAAAAAAAGATGGATGGATGTTAGAAGGTATCTCCAGACCAACTAAAGGTATCTCAACAGGTTCATATGTATATCATAGTCAGGAAGAAAATAGGCTACTTTCTATTTTTTTGATTTCACATAAATGGAATTGTGGGCAAAAGCTAGTAAAGAATAAATAACATAGTCATTTATGAATGTCCTTGTTTTCAAGTAAACACAAAATGTGCACATTTCCTTTATGTGTCGAAGATATTTCATATTTAATAGTAGCGACTCCAACCCGCGTAAAATTAAAAAAAAAAAAAATAACTATAGCCTGTGTTACCTCACAGATATATTACATTTCTAACAGTGAAGAATTTTTAAAATTGACCCAGTGGTTTTTGAGAAATAACAATACATACAAAAATACAAATCTCTATTATTTTAGTATAGACAAATATTCTTAAAGTAAGAGATTATGAATATGATAAATGATTTATTTTCGTTTTTTTCTTGCACCAGGTGATAGAGATGATATTTTAACTGTTTCAGGCTGTGAGAAATCAATCTGGTCTACTGCAATGTTGTCTGCAGTAACAGTATCCAGAATATCCAACCCTTCTAATTGGTCTTGCTCCAAGCTTTGTAACATTTGAAAACCAGGCTCCAGTGAAGGTGTGAAAGCATCATCTAGTGCTGCCGGGAAATGTAACTCTGGCACTTCTTCCAATGGTTGAGCAAGCTCTCCTAAAGCCAGAGACTCACATTGTACTTTTAATTCTTCACATGTTCTTTTAATTTTAGCATGATACTTGACTACACGGTTCTGATAAAACTCATGGAGGTTACCAACATTTAAATCTGCAAAAACTTTTGCCATCACATCAGGGAAGCCAGATTTAATACCACTTGCTTCTCTATCTACTACAGTTCTCATAAGTTTGCACATATTATTCAAGTAAAGGTCCAAAGCATCTGCTAGTGCATTGAGGGCTGTGTTAGTACAAGTTGTGATACCAATGTGGCCAAGGGCGATAGCTGCACACTGGCGTAACGCACGCTTATGACTTTCAGGTGTAAAGGGTAAAATAACTGGTCCTTTACCACGAGAAAAATCACAATACTCCTTTGGAAGAAAGTTTACTGGTACTGTAGATTCGTGTTCTAATTCTATATTGAGTTCTGGAGGTGGCGTTGGTAAGCTCATCACGTCTAGACGAGCTCCTTCGAAAACTGCGTTCTCGGTTTGTTCTAATATAGCTGTTAGTTGCCTCGAGTATGCATGCAATCGTATCGTATGAGTAATTAAATTTGGTTTTGGTAGTTCTACAGGTGACGATTTTACGGTAATCGGTATTTCTGGTATATTTTGCATGCCCAATTCGATAATGGGGTTAAAGTTAACGGTCTGTTGTATATTATCATCGGTTTCGTCCTCTTCAAACTCTCCCCACAGTTTTTTCGACATTTTTAATAAAACGTAAGTGTAAATTGGAACACGAACTAAATAAGCAATATTTGAAAAACAACTTAGAATCGTTTTTGTTTCTTCATTTTATGTTATTATGAAAATTATATTATGAAATAAATATTTGGATTCTTGTGTTGTGTTTGTATTTATTATTTCAACTCGACAGCTGTCTTTCAATGTGTCAAAGTAGTTCAAAGAGTAAACTTTGAATTGTCGTGTCAAGTTAAACACAGATTATTTATTTCTGTTTTCTCGGTCACGAAATGTTTTTCGCTCCGCTTTTCTTTTTTCTTATTCTATGTATGATTGTATGATTTCTATATATATATATATATATATAGAAATCATACAATTGATAAAAATGTATTGCAAAAAGACGAAAAAATGGTATAAAGGTGACCCACATTATATAGATGATAGTTGGAAGCTAAGCAGTAGTAAGTGGGTAGAACTAACATAAAAAATGTAAATTAACATCAAAACTTTTATCAGATGTATGGGTCAAGCTCAGTAAATAATATAAGATAGATCGTCTTATGACTATGTTTATACATAGGTTGACCAGTAATTTCCTTACTATAATGAAGGCAGTCACAAGTAACTCAAGGTAACAGTTATTTTCTACGTTTTAAATTTCGACGACATTTTTTTTAATTTACCGCTCTCTATTAATTTTAATTCTCTTGCATTATTTAGACTTTCAATCGTAGGGCTGCGTATAAGGAGGTACCCCAATTGAAGCTGTAACCATATTAAAAATAGTAAGACCTAAGAAAGGGAATTAATTCGTTTTGAATTCATTAAGTTTCTGTTAGAAATAATTGTCATAAACACAGCTGAAGTAGGAAAACTCCAAAATTGTATAATTTTGCGGAAATTCTATAAAACAGCGTTTATGTTAACTAGATCCGACATTTAATAGTTATTAACAATGTCGTCGGATGTAATAATTGTTGTGTTGGACCAACTAACGCTGCGAGCGTTTAAGGTCGTGATAATTTGTGTTAATTATTTTTAATCTACGTGTGGAGCGATCGCACCGGAGAATTAGTTACAGGACACGAGGTTGTAGTAATAATGCTCTATGTAAAGCAATCGACATAATTGCAAAGTGATCACAACTTGGTCAACTTAGCTTAGTTAACTAAAAAAAACTCTTTTTAATCACATTTACTTGCATGGTACATACATATAACAACTGAACATATATTATAGATGCGAAAAATCTACCTTTTACACGGAAAAATAGTAAAGAAAATAAATGACGAAACGTAGAAAGTAATAGAATCGTAGAGGTCAAGAGGTAATGTAGCAAGTCTACGAAAGCTACGACATCGTAGCTTTAAGCATTAAACGTTGGGTAGCGTAGAAACATCATCATGCATCTATATCTATGTCATAAAATTCGTCAATACATCGCAATGAGATATAATCGTCGGAAACATATCCTCGGTAAACGTAACTCCGCCCTACGTAGGCCTAGTTACATGAGTCGAGAGGTTCATTCAGGACATGAAATGTCGCCGGAAGCCTCGCAGATCAATCGCCGTGCCCGCCCCTGCCCCGCTCGCCCCTCCCGCAGCCCTACGCGATCCCCCACAGGATCCTAGGAAGACCAGACAGTGTGGCTCGTCAGTCAGCTCGCGGCAGTCGTGAGATACGCACGTGCCGGATCAGCGACTCGCGTCTACGATCTCAGTGATGCTGTTGTGTTTATCATCACAAAATTATTGATTGCTAATATATTTTTATTTCACGAACTCCGGTAAGTATTTTTTATGAGAAATAAATAGTTGCCATTAGTTATTTTTTATTAGACGAAAAATAAATCTTCTCACGAGTACCACTTGTTGATCTTATCTTAATTTCGAATGAACCAGTTCTTCCTTATTTTTTAAAAATCTTTCAATGTATTTACATATACAAGAAATAAAAGAAATCAATATTACATAGCGTTAGGTAAGTCGTAATTGTAAGTGACATAAGTAAAATTGACTTCTGAGTAAGAATAATGAGGGAATGCCAATAATTAAATTTGATCTTTTTTCTATTAAATAAGAATATACAATACTTCTACCAAACTATATACATAAACAATGATTATTATTGCGTTCAATTTGTAACGCCTTCCATTTAGGAGGCAACAAGTTGTTGCGATTTTCAACGTAGATGCGCATTTCAAACATAGTAAGCCTTTGTCCTTTATATCATAGCTTTTATTACATTAGAAGATTTAAGAAAAGCTAACTGAAAAAGACACTGTTTAGTAACTGTACTTTTAAAAAAAAATCATGTCATTAAATGGACAGTGTAATAAGATTAAATAATAAAACATTAACTGGTTTTTCCTAATAAAGCAAATACTGATGTTTACGAATTTAAATAAATAAATCTAATTTAACTCATAACCTTAATTACTTTACTTGTTGTTTTCTATTTTTCTAATTGTTTTACGCATATGTGTATAATATTATTTGCTCATATATTAAATGAAACATTTTTCCAACGTACCATTTTGTTTTTTACCATAAATTATTAAATTCTAATCTAATTATTGGCTGACAACTTTGAATGTTAAATGAAGATCGCTAAATACTTTTAGTTTTAACTGTGCAGTCTGACTTTATTTGAGTTTATTTGATCCTTTCATTTTAGAAAAAATCATTAAACATTGTATTAATAAAAAAGTAGCTTCACGTCAGATTTTTTAAAAAAGGAATTTGTTATGTTTAAAGGCATTAATTGAAATGAAATATTTGCCCAAATGACACAGGAGAGTTTAACCGTATTCATGTTTTCCTTGTGGCGTGTCCATAATATTCTTTCGTCTACTTCGCCTTACCAGTGGCCGGAAACACTTGTTGCCACAAATTGCATTTGCAATGCTTTGTTGTGACCAAATGAGTATTAAACTTTTTGCGTACTCAGTAAAAGCTTGTACTTCCGACGGATAAAATTAATAAAAGCCATTTGGAAAGTAAAATTGATAACGCTAATAATTAAAATTAAAAAATATGAACAGTTTTAAGGAAAGAAACGAAAATGATAGGAGTAGTTATATTCTACACAATATGTATCGAATTGTGGTAAATTATTTGTATAGTAAAGAAGGTTGTAAAACTATATTTATAACAAAACAAATTAATTCAGCAGTTTGTTTTTTTTTGATCAAAGAATCTTAAACAGCTACATAGTCTTTGTTTTTCTATGTTCCCTTTACATGTTTTCTTTAGTCGTTTAAAATCAGTTTTCCTTTCATTGCTGAAATTGGATTTTCAATTATCAGTCGTTCAAAGCGCGTTGATGTCTTCTAACGGTTAGAATTAAAGAAACGTGAAAATATTGTGTAACATTGTTTTACTGAAAAAATCAAATATTTGAAACAACAAATTTAATTACATCTAAAGAGTCGTGCTAGTTATCCATCTTTTGTTACAATTTCTATTTATATTTCGTCAATATTTTTCACGCTGTACCCCAAAAACGATGGTTTAATCTGATCCCCACTTGTTCCGATTCTCAGCGGCTTGTGAACGAATGAATGCTGAACGAATACTCAGTTGTCATCGACCTACATCAGGGGATTACCGTTCACAGATCCATCGCTCACTTCAACTACACAATGAAATAGCTGACAACTCAAACAGCTCACGATAATTCGCAATTTTACTTTTAAAATGCAGCTAAGATATTAAATCCAACTGTGATTTTGATATTTACATCTTATTACATACTGATGACTGTAATGTTATTTTCATTTCCTTCTTAAAATAATATTCTTAAGATAAAATGCAGTAAGGAACATGCGAAAATTTCTGAGCTTTGCAACTTACTTTAATAGAGATCTTCTCTTATTGCCATGGAGCAGTTTAAAACTAAAATATCGCACAACAGATATGCGATTGTCGTTTGTTTCGCAGCCAATTCAACTGTTTAGTTGCACAACTAAAAATCAAGTAGTGTGCGCACCTCCATATCACAGGAATCAAAGCGAGACTAAAGAGTTTTGCGATAGTTTAGTCAAATGTGTGCGCGCGATCTTATAGTTAGTTACTTAAACATTACCTAAGAATTAACATTAGGTATCCGTAGATCCTCTGTTCTTATAGATGTCAATAAACAGCGATCACTGCCTCGTTTTAGCTGTCAGTTTGCCTTCTTGTTAAAAAAAAAGCAAATATTAAAGTCCAATACGTAATCACTTAACTCTGAGTGCGACAGTAACATGATTGGTCATTAAGAGTGATTTTAAATATCACAATTGTAAAGAGTTACAAACTAATCGACTTCTTCTATACTAAAACACTAGAATCGCGATAATTTAAAGTCCAAGGGAAACGCAAAATATTTTAAGTTATAGAGGTTCTAAGTTATCAAGGGTCTATGTTATAGAGGTTTTTGGCTCTGATGGGAAGGGAGCATATTATTTTTTGAAGTTAGAGAGGTTTTTAAGTTACCGAGGTTTGAGTTATCAGGTTCTACTATATTACAAAGAGCAAATATTTGTATTTTTGAATGTATTGAATCTCAAAAACCACTGAGCCGATTTTAAAAATTCTTTCACCTTTGAAAAGCTACGTTATCAGTGAGTAACATACATTACTTTTAATTTTACGCGGATGTATTCGCGAGCAACAGCTAGTTAGTAGGATAACGACTGAATGGAGCAGGTAGTGCAAGAGGAGCAATTTACAAGTAAGAATTGTTAAAACAGTGTGTCGGTAGTTTGTTTTTATTTAAAAATAATGTAATAATCTGTCGATAGCAATGATTGTTAACGAGCATTATGTCAACAGTTAAAGTGTATTGCGGTGCGTGTGAGCGTTGGGGAGTAGGGGGAGCTTGGGGGAGCTGGGGAGCGCGGATCTATCGCGCGGCCGCTAACTAAAGATTTCCGCGCCGACATCCGCGCTCGTTGCGCCTGCGATCCCCCTGGCTCCCACGTGTACTAACAACGGTGCATTTCACATACTTACGAAATTTACTCAGAATTATCTTATCTTACTAATATTATAAATGCGAAAGTTTAGATGGATGGATGGAAAGATGGATGTTTGTTAAAAAAACAAAAGTGAGCCTATGTGTTCTTCCAGACTATCCCCTACATCTATGCCAAATTTCATTGAAATCCGTTCAGCTGTTTACGCTACAAACTCTAACAAACATCCATCCATATAAACTTTCGCTTTTATAATATTAGTATGATTATTCGCACTGTAAGCGAGATACGTACTAGGTGTTTTAGACCTGGTTTCGCTTTCAACGTGTTAAATTACAAGGTCACAATTAACGTCTAGAAAAAGCGTAAACTTTACTAATAATTAAATCCGTATTTATTACTCAGACGTAGACAGACGAATTCCCGAGACGACGAACACGTGGCCGCGAGCCCGCGACAACAATAGTGCGCCGGCGTTGCCAAATACCATTACACGTTATTGAAGAATCGTCTCGTAGGGACACGATATACGAATTAATCGTATTCTAATTATATTACGGAACGTCTAATCATTTTTTCTGTAATAAACCCTTACAGCCGTATGTAGTGTCTTAAGTTGCGTTAGATAAAAGCATAGACATAATATCTTACTTTTTACTAATATTATAAATGCGAAAATTTAGTTGGATGGATGTTTGTTAGAGTTTGTAGCCTAAACGACTGAACGTATATCGATGAAATTTGGCATAGACGTAGAGGATTGTCCGGCAGAACACATAGGCTACTCACTTTTGTTTATTTTTAATTTCACGTGGACGGTTTCGCGAGCAAAAGCTAGTAACAGTATAAAGATAAAATATTTGTATTTTTGTAAACATTGAAATAACTCAAAAACGACTGACCCGTTTTCAATCATTATTTCACCGTTAAGCTACATTGTCCGTGTCGTAGGCTATGTTTTTAGTAATCATTAATTTCACGCCGACGAAGTCGCTAGCAACAGCTAGTGTACATTATTGTAAAATAGGGGCAGAGTCACACTATGCAAATGTTACTCACCGCGTTATAATGAAAATTAAAAGGTCATTTTATAGAAATGGATGGGAAATATACGCAAAGTACATAAATTATACCAATTAAATGTTTTATCAGTTTTGTAATTTATTATATTTATAGTAAATTAGTACAATGACCGTTAAAACAAAGCGTTTAATATGTCTATTGTTGAAAATTAGCGTGAAGGAAACAACTTCGATTATTGCTCCTATTTGTTCAGAAAACTTCTAATATCGTAGTTGCGTTATGTCTTTTGAAATATGTACAAATTTTTTGGATCAAGTCGATGTAAGATATCACAATATACTAAATAATTATTAAGTAGTTTATTATTATATGCCTCTGGAAAACATACAGCATTGCTTATGAAGATGCGTTATATACTTAGCTTGAATTTCGCGGTCATTCGCCGTTGA